ATGTGATGCTGTATCATGGGAGGAGAGTCGGAGAATAGGTAAAAATCCATCTACAAGGCACACTCCTTTAAACTAAACAGATAAAGAAAGATCTGTGTTCACAAAGATTAATGAGGTAGTGAACAGTCATTTGACAAAAACACTCACCCTAGTCACAAAAACTGGATTTACACATCACATTTCAGAAACTCGTCAGCCACATAATGTGGGATCCACCCGGACTCACGTGGCTCATCGAGTTATGAGAGTCTGGTCACCAGGTGCCAACCCGGGCTACACGTGAACAGACATACTTTCTCCCCAACCTATTTAAAAGTCAGTACATAATTTTGGGAGGATTAATATTTTTCCGGTTGCCTCTTAAGGAGATTTTCTTTCTGGTCCATCAAAAATTGATTAAATATGACTCATTAACACAGCCCCAAATGGAGCAGGGAATAAGAAACACCTTTCCGGTGTCTTAGTCACTGCTGTCTCCTAAATCTGACTCTCTGTTCCTTCATTTTAGCAAGAATTTTGTTGTCCTCTGATTAATTAAAACATTTAGAAGACAACTCCCTTAGTACCAGGCATACGATAGGAACTTAATGTATGAATGTTGAATGAACATAGGTTTCTTTCACTCTGTGCACCAAGATAATGTCTTATTATAAATGATTTTGCCAAGCACCGTAAACTATGAACCTTGAGTAACTAGAATACAAGCATTTGAATTCTTTTGATTTTCTTCTCTCCCAAAGGGCCTAGTAGAGGACTCTTAACAGTACTCACACATGCGCACGTGAGCATGTGGGAGCAAGCACGTGCACACACACACAGGCTTACTAGCTATCAAGTTCGCTTATAGGATTCTGGATGAATTACTTTGGAGTATATTCATTTTGGGTCTGACATTTCCATTGTCCCTGGAGAATATCAATGTTATTACAGGACCCCAAAGGGAGGGAAAAAACAGCCATGCTGATTCCAGTGGTTGGTTAGCATATTTGGTTTTATATATAGTTATAGTTGAATAATTGATTGGTCTCTGGTTGCCAAGTCCTAAGAGACAGATTTTTGTCTAAAATCATCAATAAATTACACCAACACCATAATGCTGATCACTGAAAATATCCCCACTCTTCAGATGGTTTTAGTTCTAATTTAAATTGTCATTTGCCCTCAGACTGATCTGTTTAGATATTGGCTATTTTCTTTCAGTTGAAAGCTATTCACATCCTTACATTTTAATAATACACAAGATAGCGAGAAAGGAGGACTCAAGGGTCAAGTGCAATATAGACTCTGACACTGTGTAGAAAAAAGCCTCCCAGAGCTCCTCCCCTGTCTCCTTTGCTCTCACACTCCTACCACACTCACACACTTCAGACAGCAGATGTGGGGGTGGGTTTTTCCCACACCAACCAGTTCTCTATGACATCAGCTGGGTGTCCTACAATTTAACTCAGTTCTGACGCTATCTACCTGGACATAGCGTCAAATCCACCAGGTTAAGGGCTCAGTCCCACGAGACTGCCCCTTCACTTCAGATGCCAACTGCGAGTAGTAGGTCTCCAGGTTACCCACAACTTCTGTCTGACTTGGCTACCAATTGGAGGTTCCCATGACCTCCTCCCCCTTGGATTCGATTATTTGCTAGAGTGGCTCACAGAATTCAGGGAAACACATACTTGCATTTACCAGTTTGTTAAAGACATGATAAAGGACGCGAATGGACAGCCAGATGAAGAGCTAAATAGGGTCAGGCAGGTCTGGGAGGGTTCTGAGCACAGGAGCTTCTGTCTCTGTGGAGTTGAGATGTGTTACCCCCCACCCCCACCCCCAGTATATGGATGTGTTCACCAGCCTAGAAGCTCTCCGAACCCCATACTACCAGGAGTTTATGGAGGCTGCATTATGTAGGCGTGATCAATTATTAACTTCTTTTCCAGCCCCTCTCCCCTCTCTGGAGCCACTAATCAGATGTAAAATCCTTGGCCTGCTACTCTGCCTCTCTGAATTTCACTTTTCTCAGCTATAAAATGAAGATAATACTGCCAGCTGCTGACAAAGGTAGGTAGACAGCCTCACTTCCTGTTCCCCAGGGGTTGTATCTAGCATTCTAGGCTAAGCACGTTTCCAGCAGGGTAGAAAGTCTAACCTACCTGACCTCTCCCATTCGTGAAGTGCACAGAGAGACTGAAGGGCAAAGGCTAACGATAAGCATTTCAAAGAAGGGTTGAAAGAATTTCCCTTTCTGAGGGTCTTGCTTCTCCATCTCCAATTAGTTGTGTTCTTTCCACACATTGCTGGCAATAAATGGCATATTTTCCAAATTTTGTCCTCTAATACAAAACTTAAGATAAAGTCTAAGAATAAATTTAATTAAGACAATCTAATGTATATATATTATATGTATATATATGCACATATATAATATATATATGCAACCATTAAGAAAGTTTTCTTGGTGTACATTATGACAATGTTTTATGCTAATTTCAACAGTAATTTTTCTTTTAGAATGATAATATTAAACCGCTGTAACTTTTCCCAAATTCCGGTTTCTTTACTTTTTCCACTGACTGAATCAAATTTCCCCAGAAACCATGAAAAAAAAAGAAGATAATAGTAGTACACACCTCTTAGAGTTGCTGTAGGGACTAAATGAGATAAAGCATGTAAAATATCTGGCCACATAATAGACCTTAGAAAACATTAGTTGCAGTCTCTCTTCTTTCTTAATAATCCAAACACTCATACAGTGCCTGTATGCTCCCTAACGTCAATTTAAGAACATTTGCCAAATACCAAAATACACTCCCTCCCACAGCTTGTGAGACCTTGTGTGATCTAACCCCTGCCTCCCTGTCCAGCTTCTCTTCCACTGCCACCCTCCCTCCACTTGGTGCACTTAAATATATTGGCATCATTCTTCCTCAAACTTACCATTTTTCCTCCACTTCAGAACCTTCTCAAATACTCATTCCCTATCTAGATTCTAGAACATTCTCAACACTCTCCCATCACCTGTATAATCTCTATTCAACCTTCAACTATTGGTTTAAATGTCACTTTCTTAGCAGAACTTTCCCTTACATCCCTCCTCAAGGTTATGTCTCCTCTTCTGCTCTCTCATAGTATCCAGAATTCTTTCTTTAAATAGTTATCACATTCTTAATTGTATATTGGTACATATGTGTTTGCTATGTACACAATTTGTTATGAATTGTGTCCCCCCCAAATTCAGATGTTGAAGCTTAACCTCCAGTACCTCAGAATGTGACAGTGTTTGGAGATAAGGTCTCTAAAGAGGTAAAGTTAATACGAGGCCATTAAGATGGGCTCTAATCTAATCTGACTGGTGTCCTATCAAGAAGAGGACAAGGACATAGAGAGAGAGACACCAGGGATGCACACGCACAGAGAAAAGGCCATGTCAAGAGAGCAAGAAGACAGCCATCTGGAAGCGAAGGGAAAGGCCTCAGGAGAAACCAAACAATCTAACACCTTGATCTTGGCCTTCCAGCCTCCAGAACTGTGAGAAAATTAATTTCTGTTGTTTAAGCCACCAGAATTTTGTTAGGGCAGCTCTAGCAGAGTAATACATTGTTTAAGGTCTGCCTTCCTCCCCTAGACTGTGAACTCCGTATGGACAGAGAGTATGTCTGTACTTCACCACCAAACTCTCAGTATGTAGTTCATTGTCTGGCTCCAAGCAGGAGTCAACATATTTTTGTTTAATTCATGAATTAATGAATAAGGGTATGAATGATTCAAGATTATGTCAATTTTATCCTGAAAACTCTCTGTCTTCCAGATTCTTCAATGATATGAGATTGACAGAAGACATGTTGAGTATTTATCTGTGGAAGGTGGGAACATCCCAGCAAGCAAGAACCTAATAGTGTCACATTCATTGAAAGGGTTCTGAAATGTGACCCCTATGCAGAATATTGGGAGCTTAGGAGTGAGAACCCCACAGGTGGTGCTCAGCAGTCTGCTCCCCTTCCATGGGGTGTGAGTGCCCATAACAGCAGGTGCAGACATGCACTGGCACTATACTGCAGGAATCCTACAGCTCCCCTCCAGGATCTTGGAATGATGCCTCACGACTTGGAATTCAGACCCAGTGTTGGGTCCCCAGAAGACGCTATGGCTCCAAAGAACCATTTGAGCAAGTTCCAGGTTCAGACTCCCCATATTACCAACACCAAGAGTCTCAAGCTAGTCTCTAGGGGTCCCAGGAAGCCACATGCTATTCAGATGTTCATGAGAATTCTCTAGATTAGTGTAAACTGACTCTTTGGGGGAAGTCTAACTGCCCTATGGAGTGTACCTGGAGTTACAGGGCCTCTGGGAGTCCACAGTTGTCTTGGGCGTATGGAGACGATGTGGTTGCTGATTTGAGGGGAAAGAAGGTCCTTAACCCTCCCCAACAGTACCTCTCTCCATTATTTAGGTGGCTAAATGCCTAAAATCCTGTCACTAACATGTCACTCTTTGGAATCAGTGTTACTATATCTGGTTACCTCTGGGCCTCACCAATTGCTCCACATTTTTGGTCATTAACATCTTATTCTGAATTAGTTCACTCACTTTTTCCTTGAGGTGGGACTGGCCTGGCTTGGGTCAGAACGGTGGAAAGAGGACAAAGGCATCTATAGGGGAAACAGGTCTTGACTATAAATCCTGCCAACTTCACAGTTTTTCTAGGGCTTGAGCACCTTGACCTCAAGTCCCGCACACAGCTAGCTGGCTGCGCCGTGAATCATGCGCATTGGGATTTTGACTATTGCCATGGCAGCAAGGAAGGGAAATACCCAGTGGTGGCAATTCTCTGGTTATAGAAGTTAAGATATAATAAAAGGGCATTTCCTTTACACTGAACCTTTATACCATATTCCCCATAAATGGTTAATCCACCTACGCTGGTAGGAGAAGCTTTCTGCCTCCTATAAAGTTTGATTCCTGGAGGCAGATTTTTTTAAATCCATCAAGTGTCAGATAATTGGAAGGGTGGAGTAACACTGTAAACCACGACACACCTTTGTCAGGACTTGTTTGGAAGCAAAGAACTGAAAGAAACAACGGGGAGAGAGGGAGAAGGGAGCATTTTTGAAAGATCACTCAGCTCTAACACACCTTGGCTGGGTCTGGATAAAAAAAAGTGGGTACTGCAAACGTCTAGAAGAAAACATCAGGGAAGAAAGAGAGAAGGGGATTTACTCAAAGCTGTTTCCAACTCCTTCAAAATCTCAAACTAGGTAAGTAACAGGAAGGATCTGATCTTTCCTCCTTCTGAGACTTTGACTTGTGGTTTTCCATTGAGAACTTAAATGTTTGTTGGAGAAAATAAGATGAAGTTGTTTCGTTTCAAGGGTTCTGATTGAAGTGATTAATTGATCATAAATGATTCCTTCGGTTTACGCACTCGGCTTAGAGTAGGTCTTTTAAAGGAATAACAAGCAAGATTCATCAGTGGGAAAGCGAAGAAAGAAGTCAGTTAAGATAAACTGGGCTCTAGTGGCCAGATTTTTTTGGTATTATTTTCAGTACTGTAAAATGGCTTGTGTTAAGTTGTTTTATTTGTGTATTTATTTAGAAGACGATGCATTTATAATCCCTTCTTTCTCAATCTCAGTTTCTCTCTTGCTCTCCCCCTCCCTCGAGTCCCTCTGGCCCCTTGACAGCAGAGAACAGCTCAGAGGGGAAGTTAGCGTGTAGGTAAGCGGGGGCTTCTAGAAGCAGCAGCCCCTGAGTACTAAGAGCTGATGTACGGCCCGGACCTCTGCGCTGGCAGGTTCTGATTAAGCTCGAGGGGTTGAGCAAACATTGTTGTTTGTTGCACTCTAAAATTACTACTGCCCCAATCTAAAGTAAAGTGAAATATCTGAATTGATATCATTAATCTAGGAACTTCCTGGAGTCAAACTTGGAACAACACAAAAAAAAGAAAGAAAATTTTGTGTGTGTACATACTTTTACTGGCCAATTTGGACCAAAAAATAAAAAATTTATTTTAGGGTGAGAGTTGCCAGTTTAGGTATCTCACTGGGACCACATTAACTGCTAACTGACAAATTACCACTTCACTTTTGGAAGTGTAGGCAAAGCTGCTGGCACATCGCTGCTTTTGAGAAGCGGTTAAGCTGTAGCAGAATACTTGGATTTGTTATCCATCGAATGTAGTGAGATTTTAAAAATATATTCATTTGAGAAGCAGAATTGTTTCTCGGTGCCCCTGTATCCTTTCTCTTAGAGCTAAGGTACAGATCTGGGTCAGACCTAAACGAAAGCAGGTGTTCAGCCCCTGAGGGTGCCCTTCAGAGAATCAGAGGGGGCCTGCTTTACTCTCAGCCCCTGCAAAACACCCACAGAAATCTGATGAGAATTTACATGGGGACAGTGAGGGCCAGGAGTCCTGCTTCAAACTTCAACAGAAGCTCAGATTGGTGAAACTGATCCGACCTAAGAACTAACCACGTTCTTCAACTATGCCTGACCCAAAGAAATCTGTGTCTACGTGGTTTGGCTCATTTGCAGCAAGACTTAACCAAACATGGCTGGAAACAAGCAGCCTAATCACAAAGCTGGTGCCCGAGCTCCCCAACCCCCAAATTATGAAAATTGAGGATGCCAAACGAAGCAAGTGGGTGAGCCCGTGGCTGGGGTATTGCAGAGACAAGAACCTCTGAGAGGATCGACCCTGGGGCACTGGTTTTCCTAGTCCAGCAAACTGCTTGGCCCTTCTGTGTTAACAGATCAATAGCTAGTGGACGGTTTCTCACACTTTGGGCATTTTGTTGTTTTGTTTTAAAATGTAAAGCGTACAGAGATTGGAGTAATAAGAGCTATGAAAATACTTGCGATTCCTTAGCCAGAGTATATTTATTCCTGAAATAGATAATAGAGAGAAAAACACTGAGTTTCTCCATGCCCCTCTTTGTCTCAAAGACCAAGTGTTTCATGAGTCATTAGAAAAGCATAGGATCGATGCAATGGTTTACGATCAGTAACAGCGGTCTGTGCTTGTTCGTGCGCGTATTACACCACATCATCATCGGAATAGCTTTAGGTGGATGTGGCATCATTTAAATGAAGTGGAAAGGAAAAAAATTCATAAAAGTAGAAAAATGATTTTGAAGTGTGCTTCTTGCATAAGAAAATGACATGGGATCATTTTTACGTCTTCAAAAGAACATTAACTATGAAATAACCACAAAGCAGCCTGTTAGAACTATGGACGGAAATTAGCCTAATTTGGAAACTGAGAACTCGAGTGACCTGCTGTTCCTTAGTTCTAGTGAAGCGGCCCAAACATCCAAGTTAAAAATTATGCTATTTGACCGTGCTTCCACTAAGTAGTGTTTTTGAGAGCCCACTGGCAAGCTCTGTCGGGAGTGGCAGGCTGGGACACGTACCTGGGCACATAACTTCCCTTTCGCTAACGTTAGCTACACTTTTTAAACCATGGGCATTTAAAATGTTTAAAAAGGAAGTCCTGTGGGAATGCTGTAGGTCTCATGGGATGATCACAGTCCAGGTTTCCGCTTCAACCACCATTTCTATTTAATAACTCACTTATAGAAAGTTACCCCTTACATTTGGTTTAAAGAAATCCATCTCCCAACACATCCCTGCCACATCAGACCATCAGTCTGGGGGAGAGTTTTGGCAAAGCCAACAGAGCTCTGTCCTGTACATTTTAGGCTCAAGAAATCATTCTGCATGGCCTTGGGACACAGCCATCGAGGGGCTTCGGGCTGAGAGAGAGACAAGGGCCCATCTACCTGCACCCACCTAGGGCACCTTCTATCCCAGAGTGCCTCTCCATGAGGAGCCCCAGGCCCTGGTGGAGGGCATCTGACTTCTCAGTAGGCTGCCTCTTCATACCCTCTGATGGATAGGGAACTCTTGGCTTTTCGCCGGAAATCTTGAGGCTCTGTCGTTAGGACTTAACGAAAAGGTGGCAGGGGGGCCTAGAAACGTCTATTATTTTTCTGGGTACAGAAAGCACAAGAAAACATGCGCCAGGTTTGCTGCTTGGACACTGAGACTCTTACCAAATGGAGCTGTCATCAGTCTACCTTGATGGCTACAAGCACAATAAACCCAACCAATCCCGAATTTATAGCTTCCAGCAGCAACTTCAGTTGAAGGATCAAAATAAGCAGCAACTTGTGGGAAGTGGAAGTTTCCATGGGTCGTTATAAACAGCTGCTTTCAGATTATATTTCATATCAGTTCAGGCGCCATCCTAGGTGGCTTCCCACCAGCAGAGAGGTGCATTTGAATGTTTAATCTCCAAAATGCCTCCTGGTTCACAGCTCGTGAACAATTAAATTTAAAAAAGGCAGAGAGGGGCTTCAGAGGTAGCAAAGGCAATTAATACTTAAACAAAGGATTTCAAAGAAGTTATCTGGCTGTACTTAGGTTTGAATGACACAAGTCATACAAGTCATAGCTGGAATGCAGACATAGTCACAAGCCAGGTTTGGCCTTCTAATGAGGCTAGACTCCCTTGTTAAATTGTTTATGGCACCTCACCTCTTGGCTCTGGGAAACATACCTGCAAAGACCTTCTATGGCTTCTCAGATCCAGCCAGGAGATTTCCCATGATGCCTCATTCTTTGCCTAGAGCTGCATTTAAAAAACTCTGATGAGCAGGAAGTTGGCACAGTTGACAAGGCCCTGAAGCTAACTGTGCTGATCCTGGTTCATTCCATTGGGTAGCTGACCAGCTGGTCTCTTGCGGTCTTGGTTTTCCACGTGGAAGTCATCCAGGGCCACGTTATGACTTTCAGGGGCCCTGGACACTTTTGCCTTTGTGGACCCCTTCTTCCATGAAGAAAAAAAAGCGTTTTTAAAATTGTATTTTATAACTGCGTTGGAAGAATATAATCCAGGTTGGATTCTATTTATTTTTCTTCTGATTTTAAAAAGAAATTAAAATACTTTTGAGGGCCCCTAAAGGTATGACGGAACAAGGAACTGTGCCCATCACGCCTAACAGATAAGTCGACCCTAAATCACCAGGCAGGCGAAAAAGACTGAAAGGCGAGGTCTCCAAGCAAGGGGCATCCTGGGCAGAAGTGATTTTCTCCAGAGTTCTAGAAACCAAATTGAACTGCATCCAAAAGATGAACAAGGAGAGAGGGAAGTTTAGGAAGGGGGAGGGTGGGGGGTAGAATGGCAGGGAAAGCCAGATTTCAAGTCCTTCCAGAACCTGAGAACAAACCAAACCTGCAGCCAAAAGAGCCCAGTGGGACAGGGATCCTTGCTATTCTCTCCTGTGTATTTAAGCATGAACCCCCGACTCTAGCCCACCCCTGATGTCAGCCCTGCCTCATTCCTTCAGAACACAGTGGACAGGATCACAATGATTTTCCTTTCCAGAAGCAGAGTAACAGTGAAGGGAGAACATGGATAACATGTGCAAATATGTATTTTCCTACGTATTTCGATAGAGTTTACATATATGTTCTTCATATATTTTTCCCTCTTATGTCTGCGAATAAGCCTACCAGGGCTGATTTGTTACGAGGAGAAAGTTTCAGTTGTGAAAAGTGCAAAGTTCTATACATAAGACCATTGTAATGATTTTTATCCCAACTTAAATCTATCAAACATCATTCTCACACCCAAACTCTAAATAATGAAGAATTAATGTCTTATATTCATCGAGCTCCACACAGAACACTGCACATCACGGAATGCATCAACATGAATGAGCTGAAAGTACTAAGTTCTTTGACAGAAATCCTGCAGCTGTTTGTTACTTTGGCAAAGAATGGAGATTCCATAGTCAAAGGTCAGGGCACCAAGTCTTCTACGTAAACATTTTAACGCTCAGCTGGGGGCAACCTGATCAATCAGATCCTGAAAAATAAGATCCCAGTACAAAGGGATAGAATCCAAAGTGGAACTATTAATTACTCTCTGTTATAACCGATAAAGGAAGTGGAAATGACATAAAAAATCTCCACAAGAAAGAACTATTCTTTGAGTTCTGGGAATCAAGTTTTTGGTTCTCAGCTTGAATAGTAGAGATCTATACTTACTAAAATGATGATAAGAGGCATGGCCTTTCATGGTTTCTGGATTTTTCTGCAGGTGGCTATGGTATGGATGTCACCAGGACAAACAAACGAGACGGCACTGAAGTCTCTGAAAGAAGTAAGAGCATGCTATATATCATTATAAAAGTAATTAAAAAATTTGGAAACAGTTAATAGTTCATTCCTAATTCCACAACTGTATCATTTTTTTCTTTTTAGTACTTTTTCTGCTTTTGTTTTCACTGTATCATTTAAAATGTATTCCTAAATAGGCTTTATTCCTTTACACAAGACGCCTTTTGTTGATTTTTATTTTAACATACTTGTAATCAAAATGCGTTCAGCTTTTTCTTCAAAGATGAAAATTGCCATTTCAATGTATAGTTTTCATAACCGGCATTTTTAATGGCTACATAATATTCTGTTGAATGAATTTGCCATAGTTTATTTCATCATTCCCTTATTTAGGGATACAGAGCAGCAGAAATCCAAAAGAATAACATCCCAGTTATTGCAGAGACAGTGTTAGAATGACACTGGTGTCACAGTTGCCATCCACACTGAAAATTGAAAGCAGTCACATTTCTTTTGTGGAACTGCCCAGATGATAAATTCGGAGACATTTAAATGGTCCCCTTAGCAGCTCTAACTCTTTCACTTATCCTGTGACTTTCATATATCTCCAATAAAAAAATTGTAGCTCCACAGCCTTTGAACTTTAGGTTAAGAAATAATTTACTTTTATGTGTCAGAGAGTCCCAAAGGTCCATACAATGAGAGTTTAGTGAAAGCTCAAGGACTATTATTCAAATCAAGCTGCCATTTTAGTCTGAAAAACCATTTCCTTTTGTGCATTGAACGCTGTTCCTGCTAGGACAACCAAACTCATTAGGAAAATGCAGTGTGAAGAACGCAAGAGTGAGGGGGCGGCAGTAAAACTGGTGTGGGGTGGAATGGTTGTCAGCAGCACAGCCTAAAGTGGCACAAAATGATCCATACCATCTTCTTCCATCCTTTTCTCCTTTCCTTACTCACACCCACATGCATGTGCACATACACGTCATGCATACACATACACCTGGGCATGCACACACATGTGCACACACACGAGAACAATTTAAAGACCAGCGACCTCAGGTGGATGGGTGCTCTTTTATGTCCAACGCAGAGGGAGGCAGTGGTAACGATCATAGTCAGAGCACAAAATTGGCCCTGCTCTAGCTTTAGGATCCACCCATCTCCCATGCTGCTCCACGGGAGACAGTGATTCAGGAAGGCAAGAGGTCTTTCTTCCAACTGGTGTTTAGAAAACACTGGAAGCTTTTATTACCTCCATAGACTTACCATCATTTGGAGTCTAGAGAAACTCAATTTGGGGAGGCAACAGGATTGGTTCTTCCAGTCTGTCTTTGATGTTCATCTATCCTTGATTTCACTGAGCACCAAAGGTGACTTAGCGACCCCCTCCCTTCCTATACCTCCTCATACCTAGGAATGGCCCTGGAGATTTTAGAATGAATTATGATGTCCTTCAGATACCCCAAAATTCATAAAGAAGTACAAGGTAATTATCCACTTCACAGTGAAATCAGCCCAGGCTGATGCATTGGCCCCAGATGGACTGGGTGGCCATTTGGAATGGGCAGTGCAGAGAAAGAATGGGACTCGAGACTTTTGAGAGTGACTTGAGGGCCTGGTCCTTCTTCAAAGGCAAATCTAGGCCTGGACTAGATCTAATTATTAGATGAGAGACACTGATGTCAAGACAAGGCATCTTTCAAATCAGTGGGTAACTAACTACTTTTGGTTCCAAAGGGATATAAACTTATTTTCCAGGCACATGAAACCCCATTGTTATTGCACAGATTTTCATGCACAGTGGGTCAGATTGCATACCTTCAAACACAAACTGTATAAAAATCTGTGTTGAAACTAATTTAATATGTTGAGCCTATGACAAATTTTAGAGCTTGCCAAAATATAGGGATTTCAGTGCATTACATATCTCATCTTTTCATTGTCTTTTTCTAGTTATCACAGAAACAGTAACTACAAGACTTACATCCTTACCACCAAGTAAGTGACTATCTCAAGAGCTTTCTTCTCAGTAGGTCATGGGGGAAGGACTCCACATGTAACCTTTTCCATAGGAGCTCATTCTCCAGTTGAGCAAATCCAAAATATCTGAAATCTTGTGTTTAACAGCTGTATTGACCTTAATTAATATACCACAAAGTCCACCAGTTTGAAATATATAATTCAGTGGTTGAGAATATATTTACAAAGTTGTGCAGCCATTGCAACAATCTAATTTTATAACATTTCCTTCTTCCCAAAAAGAGACCTCATGACCATTAGCAGTCACTCCCCATTCTCCCTCTTCTCTCCTCAGCCCCTGAAAACTACAAATCAACTTTCTGTCTCTATAGATGTACCTGATCTAGACACTAAAATATCGGAAATCTTATCCAACCTGAGCATGGGGTGGAGAAAGGCACCAGCAGTCGGGCTCCTGATTGAGTCCACTTTTCTTCTGGGGAGGTCCTTAGGTTGAGCGGATTCTGTCATATAGCTACCTCTGCACCTCCCAGGAAGCCTGGCTCACGGGGGTGGGGTGGGCAGATTGGGGGTGGGAGTGGAGAGCCAACCCATTAGCAGGTGAGGCTGGAGGATGACTGGCTACCAGCAACACAAAGCTGTCACTCATCCCTCCAACGCTCCTAGTGGCTGCCACGTCTGGGGCACTGATCAGGCATTTGAAAAGAGCAAGGCCAACCCAGGGCCTGGCTTCCAGGAGCTTCTCATCATGCAGCTGCCTTTTCTAACATTTAAATTTCCCTAATAAGCAACTTGCTATGCTCCATTCAGAAGACTTTCCTTTTAAATTGGGTGAAATATTTGCTCCTGACATTTGTATCAAAAACAAAATGAGAGCATGGGAGCCTTGACTAGGCAGTCCAGGTGGGAAAGGGACCCCAAACCAACAGGGTCGTGGGTGGGAAGCTAGGCAATGCTTCCAAGAGGATGAGAGGACCCTCTGGGCCGATTGCACCGGTAAGTTGTCACCTGCTCCTTGTTTCTGCAGAAGGGGGAACCAGCAATGGCTATGCCAAAACAGGTTCTCTCGGTGGAGGGAGCCGGCTAGAGAAACAGAGCCTGATGCACGGCAGCAGCGGCTACATAAACTCAGGTAAGTGCCTGCCGGTGGGAGGGCTTGAGGGAGAGCAGAGGGACAGGGAGAGAGAAAATTCCGTTAAGGAGACTGACGATAACGAGTGTTCATCATCCCTTCCAATTGCCCCAAAGAGCTGTGTAATCGACAGAAGACCAAGCGAAGATGAGACTTACAAAGGATCCACGTTTGAAGCCTACTTAAAATGGGATCAATTTTCATTAAGTCCCCAATATAGATAACAATAACTAATTGAGAAGGCTTCATGGGCAAGTGGCTCCTTTCCCACTGAAGCACTCTAAGTCGTTTCTTTTCGAGAAGGGTGTGCACTCTGAGGGTTTACAATTTGAATTAACAACAACAACAACAAAAGAAACTTCAGGATTGGGTTACTGTTTGAGTTCCCGCTGGGCAAGCATCCAACACAACCCCATTGTTCCCAATGAAACACTCTTTCATGGTAGCTTTCAATCCGACACAAAACAAAGCAAAGCAAAGGCGGGGAGAAAACCCACACACATAAGCTCTGAAGCCTTTTAAAAAATCTTGGAGTGAAACTAAAAAAGGAAACCCAAGACACACAAACAGCCAGGCTGACCAAGAGAGGCGCCTGCCCCTACCTGCTGAGGACGCTTCCACAGGGGTTATGTTCTGATCTATCCAGCAGTGATCTGCAATTAAAGGCCAGGTCCTCAGGAAAAATCCTGCTGAAGCCTCTCTGTTTCCAGGCACTGTAGGCATGGACGTAAAGCACCCCTCTGCCTTCCAGGGGCCGGCTTGGGAAGGGCAGTGGCAATAATAACATCTCCCATTTCTGAGCCGCCATAGGAATGTGGGGTGAACCTCTTCCATGCCTCCTGACGTCCTCTGGCCCCGCACAGGGCCCTCTTTTATTTTGAACACCCTGAGTGCACTTAGCGAATATAACTGAATGTCAATCTGAGGTGCTCTAGGGGTCTCCGCTTTTCCCCACTTGTAGGTGGAAGCACACGTGGCCATGCCTCCACCTCCAGTTTCAGGAGGGCTCATTCACCTGCCTCCACGCTGCCCAACTCACCAGGCTCAACTTTTGAAAGAAAAACTCACGTCAGCCGCCATGGAACCTACGAAGGTATCAGTCCCACAGACTTTAGAGGAGAACTACTCTCCTCCCCAAGTAACTTCATTCATTCTTTGAAGATTTAAGTATTGGCCACCTGCATTAACCGGGGTCTGCACCCTCACCCTTCTCTCCACTCTTCCTTCAGTTGTGGACTCCTGTTACTTGTAGCAAGCAGCAGTGGCACTTGCGTGAAGAGAGATGGAGAGACTCAGATTTGGTGCTAGGCTAAGATGTTTGGACTTTATTCTGCACACAGTGAGAAGCCACAGAGACATTTGAGTAAAAGAGTTGACCGTATTTGAGGTCCAGAACTTGAATTCTGGAAGCCAGGTGCAGGAAGAATGGGGAGGAAAGAGGCTGAACACCGTGACAAGTTAGAAGCTGCTCAATATTCCAGGGAAGGGAAGACTTGGCTGGGACTAGGGTGGGAGCAGTGGGACAGGAGAGGAGGAGCTGGAGGTGAAAGGTATTGCAAAGGTGGAACTAACTGTTTTGACAATTGCTGAAACATTGGGGAAAAGGGAGAAAAAGAGGTCAGCTACTCCACCAAGATTTCAAACACAGAGGTGGAGTTCATGGTGGTGCCAATGACTGAAACAGGGAAGCCAGGTGGACGCCTCCATGTGGATGAGTTCAAGTATTTCGTCCTGAATCAGAGCCACATGGTACAGCTATCAGGTGGGGGTGCCAAGCAGGCAGTGGGGTCCAGAGAACTTGAGCTCAGGGAAGAAGTCAGGGCCAGATACCTAGTTTGGAGTCATTCACAAACAGCTGTTAGTAGCAGTTGGAAAACTGAAGGAGGGGGCCAAAGAAGAGAGTAAAAAAGCAGAAAGGAGTGAAGGAAGATAAAGTTGGAGGAAGAAGGAGAAGGAAGAGGCAGAGTTCAGAGAGGCGAAGAAGAGTCTTTGAGGGGCAGGGAGACCAGGGGCAGGCAGCGTCACAGAAGTCAGCACAAGACAGTGCTCAGGGTCAAGAAGGAGGCGGGAGGAAGACATCTGGGTTCTGCTCCTAAGGTCACAGGAGTTCCTGGTGATCCGCAGAAGCAGTTTTAGTGGAAAATAGACAAGGGGGTCTAATAGTGAATGGAGATGGGTTCTAGTGATGGAGAAGCGGGATTAAGGGACAGGAGCCCCGGTAAATGATTTAAGACCCAGAGCTGCCAGGGGATGTTGGGGAGCCCCAAATCCAGGCGAGATGCATTGTGTCACCCCAGGGCTTTCTGATGTTAGGCCTTCTCAGGGGCTGGTACCTCCATTTCAACAAGGTCCACAATCGGGACAAGCTTGACAAAGTCAGAGACAGTCCGGTGCTGACAGCACATTTATTTGACCAGGGACAGGTCACCTGCATCAGCACTGATATAGGGCAAATGCAGTTGATGAAGTGGAAAAAAAAAGAAAGGAATGGAAACCTCCTACTTTCCTTTGTTCAAACCCTGCCCCACTGAAATAGATCAGCAACAGAACGGAGTGCCATGACCACGTCCAGGAGGCACGTCGTGTCTAAATCATGAGCCTGCTGAAGGGCACACCTCACTCTCCCAGACACCCAGGCTTGTGGAGGTGCACGAAGGGGTGCCCTCATCTCAGAAGCCCTTTGGGCTTAAGTGACCATTTGTACTGAGTGTTTTGTCCCCTCTCCAGGGAGCTCCAGTGGCAACTCTTCCCCGGAGTACCCTCGCAAGGAATTTGGTATGTCCTTTCCTTATTTTCTTTTTTTTTTTTTTTAAAGATTTTATTTTTTCCTTTTTCTCCCCAAAGCCCCCCGGTGCATAGTTGTGTATTCTTCGTTGTGGGTTCTTCTAGTTGTGGCATGTGGGATGCTGCCTCAGCGTGGTCTGACGAGCAGTGCCATGTCCGCACCCAGGATTCGAACCAACGAAACACTGGGCCGCCTGCAGCGGAGCGCGCGAACTTAACCACTCGGCCACGGGGCCAGCCCCTCCTTTCCTTATTTTCTGATGAAATGGTTGAACTGCCTGACAGGGAGGGAACAGCAAACATCATAAGTTAAATGGATTTTTCTAGAGGAGTTTGACGTCTGCTGACCTGTTTTTCCCTTGCTCTTTATCCTGAAGCATCTTAAGGGGACTGTCAGGCGCATTAACTTGCTATCATAAGCCTGTGCTCGTGACACTACTGAAATGGCAAGCTATTCATACAGGGCTCAAGCTTGAATAGATAAGCCCCAAGGCCAAGCAACAATTATAGGGTTTTTCCTTACACAGGCTGCACAGACCTCCCAGCAAAGAGGAGCAGGGGTTAGAACCCACAAGTGCCAAACATCCCAGCACCTCCCCCACAGCTGGCTTCAAAGGGGCAGGTTTTGTGCCAAGTGAAACCCTAGACTGTATCTTCACTTGACCTTAAGTCTTTGGTCCGTGTTCTTGGATTCTCACTGGGCATATGAATTGATGATATGATCACTGATTGTGCAGTGATTATAATTTTATTTTTTTATTTGGATACAGCAGGAAAACCAAGGCAGTCTCTAACAAAAAATGAAAGGGAAGATCCGATACGTTTGATCAGCGTAGTCAGCCAGTCCAAGTGGATCGTGCTCCCAAATGATTACCTTAGCTAACTCAACACTCTAAGTGCAAGCAAACTCAACACTCATTTAGCTAACTTCACATCCTAAATGCCCTGAGGGCTTACAAAACTTTCTCTGCCCTTTTGCTGGGTGGTCATCGTTTATAAAGCATCCACCATCCATAAAGGCTCCTGTGTGGATATAAACATACTAGGAAAACAACTTCCTCCCCCGTCCAAATGGATGTACCTCCATGTCAAAAATTTTTAGCATGCCACATCTTCTACGTGCTTAAGATTATTTTTCTTTGTTTCTCAGCATCTTCTTCAACCAGAGGAAGGAGCCAAACACGAGGTGAGCTCTGTCGCTGGGTTCAGTTCAGTTCATTCAACAAGTATTTCCTGAGCATCTGACGTGTCCAGTCTTGAGCCAGGAAATGTGAGGAGTACAGAAGAATGAATAAGACACGGTCTCTGCCCCCAGTGAGCTTACAGCATCCTGGGACTCTTTTGCTGGCTCTACCAGGATGGGGAGGGTGGACCTGGACAGTGATCTAACAATAACATGAAGGCAGGGAGGAAAGCACATGGTAAGGACCTGGGGAGTAGTTTGTTCTGCGCTGGGTTATCTGAGGATGCTGCCACCACATCTGGTTTCACTTCTGGTCTCCTGGTTGACTTTAACAAGATATGCTATGACTGCCTTTAGGCATCAGAAACTGAGCAAAAGCCCCTCTTTTTCAAATTCAAAGGGCTCCATGACAGTTTTGCACTCTCCACATCTGCCCATGGATAAGGCTCTGGGAGGGAGAAGTGGTCCTGGGGAAAGCCGCCCTTGATAAATCTGGTGAGAGTGGCGAGGAGCATGTGCCAGGGCTGTGCTGAAGGCAGAGTTCTTCACAGGCCCTGGGAGTTCTCAAAGACCAGTCTAGACTTCTCACGGGCCATTCTGCGTCAGTGACTTGACAATTAGGAACATATCAACCACCCACAACTTTAAGCTGATGGTTGAAAGATGCCAATGCTCCACCTGAAGCTAACTAATAATGTTAAACCAGCCACTTCCTGCCCTGAAGAGGCCAAAATGGCCAAGTAAACACCCTAGGTCTTAGAATTCTCTCGCTGATACCTGAGAGACTCTGGAGGCAGGAGAGCCATTTGGTTCAAGCAGTAGGGAAATGAGCAATGGAAAAGGGGTTGGTCACTGCTGATGGTGAAGAGCCTCCCGGCCCAGCCTGGGATTTCATCAGAACGCCTCCAGGCAGCTGGGAGGTGTGCAGTGGGCAGGTCGGGGTGGGGGGAGAGGACATCTCTTTTGAAGCAGCACTCATTCTGGGAACACCTGGGTTTCCTGTTCCTAGCATACAGAGATCTCAGAGCAGCCCAAAGATATATCTGCTGCTCAGAGCTTGGAGTCAGGCACTGTGATCCCAGCTCTGTCATTCACAGCCTCTCCATCTCTTCCCCTGTACAGAGAGCGAGATCCGGGTTCGACTGCAGAGTGCATCCCCGTCTACTCGATGTAAGTGGTTACCGTCCCGCGCAAAAGAAAGAATCCAGGAATCCAGGGCTACTGCTCTGTGTGTGTGCGTGTGCATGTGCATGTGTGCACGTGTGTGCACGTGTGTGTGCCTTCACTCAATCACAAAACGTCTCTAAGGGCCTTTTAAGAGTCAGACCCTGGCCTAGGTGCAGGTGGGTAAGGAGCTGATTCAGTCAGGGTCCCTGCAAGGTAGCTCACAGACTAACGGGGAGACGGTAAACCAACCAACCAGGAAAAGCTTCCCGGGTTAGTGTCACTTGAAGGGACCGAAGGGTGAATTAGTTAGGCTCAGCCGATCTGACATGTGATGAGGGGGAGGAGCGTTCAGTGTGGCTGAAGGAACAGGAACAGGAGGGGACACAATGGGATAGTTAAGGTCAGAGAAGGGTCAAAGTAGAGCGGGAGAGTTTGAACTTGATCTCAAATGTCAGAGATTCCCCAGTCTCTGTCTGCTATACTGGACTCCTGCTATTCTTGTTAGAGGTTATTTGACATTGTGACACGAGCCCAAATTTTAGAGCTGGAGCCAAGTGCAAAGAGTAGGAGGAGAAAGAGCTGGGTCAGGCAGTTCAGCAAGCAGAGCCTGGGGCTTGCCCAAAGAGCTTCGTGCCTGGGGCCATAGGGTCTGACTCCAGGTCTAACGCTGTCTCATCTGAGTCCTTCCATGCTTGGGAGGCTGAGCCCAAAGGATGGAGCTTTCGGGGCCAGGGGAAGGCTCCGGGGGCATGGTGCCTGAGTGCTCTTCCAGCACGTATTATCTGCAACTCTGTCTCCGCTTGCGCACTGCCCTGGCCTGAGGCCTCCCTCCTCTCCTGCCCGCCCCGTTGGGAGGCACGGGGAGCTTGCTCCAGTAGATCACCTCGCATCCAACTGTATCAGCCAGACACACTTGATATTAACTTGCACAAAAGCAGCATGATATTTAGGAGTTATGGGCCACAAATTCCTTTTGACACTCCAGAGCATACAAGGTCAGGGACCCGACTCCTGAGGTGTCCTGTGAGTGTATGAGACCACCGCTGAACCATTAGTTTCAAGAGGGCTGGTCGTCTAACTGCCTGGGGTGTAAATCCTGCCCCCAATCCAGGATTACAGGGTCTTTCAGCCACAGAATCACCCCAGTGGGGTTTGATGAGGTCTAATTAGGAACTATCTGCCAAGGACTTTGGCCTCCTTATAGAGGCACTGAATTTATGAAGCCATTAATATTACAAAGTGCCAGGTTGATAAGTGCTATAAATTGACAAAACACAAAAATTGTAAGGCTAACCAAAAATGTCCCAGTCCGTGAAGCAGATGCCGTCCTCCTCAGTATTCAGAAGCCGTAAATGTTCCTCCCGCTGCAGTTGGACTCAGGAAGGAATCCTGGGCCTAAGGAGAATTGGGGGGTTCTTTGACAGGGACGGAATTGGATGATGTTAAGCGTTTGCTCAAGGGGAGCCGATCAGCAAGTGTGAGCCCGACCCGGAACTCCTCCAACACCCTCCCCATCCCCAAGAAAGGCACCGTGGAGACCAAAATGGTGACAGCAAGCTCCCAGTCAGGTAAGCCCCACAGCCCGGGCTGCCACGGAGGAAGGGAACCAGGTGGCAGGTTTGCCCGGGCCCCGGAATTCAACCATGCCATGGCAGGCCCGTCGGTCTGTGGCAGAGACTTCGAAAAGCACTGAGCATTTGCTCTTCCTGTAGCGTGAAAATGCGAGCTGTGCCCTTCTGACCCCACTGATCAACCATCCAAGTGCCCACTATAGTCTGACTCTATATCCTCAAGATTCTCTCCCAGGAGATTCTTGACATCTCCTGGGGATGTGTCGGCCAGGTCCCCCAAATGAAGAATGTTGGGGAAAGTTGTAGTGTTTTCATTCATTCATTCATTCATTCATCCAATGAATATTTACTGCATGCCTCCCCTACGCCAAGGGGAAAGGCAATGAACAACACAGGCACAGCTACTTCCCTGGTGGAGGTGAGGGCCCCTGGGGGAAGGCAAGCAGATAACCCAGAGATCCTAGTCAAGTAGGATGAGTGTGGGAGGCAGAAAGACGAAGGAGGAGATCCTTGGAAGGCGATGAGGAAAGAAGCTAGTTCTGCTGTGATGCAAAGCTTTCCTGTCATTCATTACTGAAAAAAATCTTGAGAGTGTAATCTTTCTTTTGTTTCTTAATATAAAACCAAAACCTCAGGGCGCTTTGTGACCTGCGTGGCAAGCTCCCTCTTGTACAGTAAATAGGCAGAATTGGCTTCGGATTTGAAGAAGCACCAAAACCCCCTCTTGGGGGCAGGGTGCCCCTTGGGTCTGGTTGGCACATGGGAGTGTTTAAGGAGGGTTTAACCAGAGAAGCCTGCCATCATGCGGTGTGGCCTTGGACTTCCCTACCTGCTCTGGCTCTATGCCTAGAATTCTCCTGGAAGGAATTCGCTACGGGGCCTCATTCACTGCTCCCTGACTTCTCTGAAGGTGAAGTCAGCAACAGATAGAGAGGGAGACCATTGGTGGGGACAGCACACCAGGAGGTGGGGAGAGGGGCTTAGGAGAAAGGGGCAGACCCCAGAGCAAAATTTACCTACTTCAAGTTTCACCAAGAACCAGCAAGAATTTCTAAATCAAGAGATCAAGTTCCCACCAGCTGTAAGATTTCAGATAGAAGTGGGATGACCAACTGCCCTGGTTTGACCTGGGCTGAGGGAGTTTCCAGAATGTGGGGACCTTGAGGGCTAAACCAGGAAAGTCCCAGCAAACCAAGCTGACTGCGTTACCCCAGAACAGAGTGCTGACTTATCTCTCACCCGGGCATGTGTGTGCCTGTGTCTGTTTCCAGTATCCGGCACCTATGACACAACCATCCTGGATGCCAACCTCCCCTCCCACGTGTGGTCCTCCACCTTGCCAGCGGGGTCCTCCATGGGGACCTATCACAACAACGTGACGGCCCAGAGCTCGTCCCTCCTCAACACCAACGCCTATTCTGCAGGATCGGGTATGAGGCACGAGGCGCATATCCCCTCCCACTCCTGAACCCATCACACCTTTACCTGGAGCTGAGCGACCGATCTCGTATTTGCCATCTCCAAGGCTTCCTAAAGGGGCTTTCTGTGGCCAAGGGTCCCGAGATTTTTCCACTGGAACTTCAGTTCAATTCATCTAAAGTTTTTCTTTTGGTGGGTTCTCTGTAGAAAGGACTATATAGCACAGTGTATCAGAAAAAATGCAATGGGAAAGAATATGAAAACAGATGCAAGAAGCCTAGTTTCACTCCACGTGTATTAACTGTGCGACCTTGAGCAAGTCATTTAACTTCTCTGGGCTTCAAGTGCCTTCTCCATAAAATGATCACTAACAAGAGGGGCTTTGGCAGGAACCAACGTCCTCTCGAGGCCTGACCAACCTACGACCACCCCTTGGCTGTGACCCAGGGTTTACCACAGACTAACGTTTCGTTCTGTGCTGTGGGGCAAGAGCCTAAGTTTTTCCCTAAAAACAAAAATGTAACACCATGTAAAAATGCAACCCCCGCGTTTCTTCTGGTGCTTCCTTACCCCTGTTCTGGGTTGGACATCCCTCCCACCAGCTTTCCTCCTCCCCTGCAGTCTTCGGAGTTCCCAATAACATGGCGTCCTGCTCTGCCACCCTGCACCCTGGACTCAGTGCCGGCTCCTCAGGTCAGTGCTCACCAGCTTGAACTGCCTTTTCCAGGTGGTTTGCTTAATAGGGATGCTCTCTCCTGCTGGGGAAAATGGAATGGTTTCTAGAGAAGATGTCCTTTCTGCCCAAGAGCCTGAGGACTTTGCTGCACGCACATGGCAGCGTGGAAGCAGCAGCCAAAGGAATGTGTGAGAAGGCACAGAGGCTGCCGTCAAGTCAATCGTAGAGTCAGCTTGGCCCCAGGGAAAGGTCCAGACAGAGGGGGCCAGAGACCACATCTTATGCGCTCATTCTGTGCTGGTCCTTTGATTTCTGTGAAAGGTGGGGAGATGGAAGTGAAGGGGCTAAGGGAGGCATAGCTCAGAACATCTTCAGGTGAAAAGCATTAATTTAGAAGGATCTCACCCCACATGTTTTTATAAATATAGTGGTTCATTGGGGGCTCAGATAATGATACTGCTTAGCTTCCAGTGCAAACATATAACTGTTTTAAAGAAATATTTATTCACTCATATGTACATAACACATACATCATAATAGCCTATATGTAAATAAGTTTTCAGCCCACAACTTTTTAAAAATAAATCTGCCTCTCCCTGTGATATTGTGACTAATAAATGTAATGAAGTGGGCCTTCTTTATTTACTTGGCTGGTATAGCTGCAAGTGCAAATTTAACGTTCTGGTTTTCAACACTTCCGCTTGACTAGAGTCCCACCAAACCCAGAAGACACCAGCTTCATGTTTCATTTCTTCTGCTCTTGCAAAGTCCTGACTGAGGAAGGTGGGCTGATATTGGATCCATGATCTTATGCCCCAAACAGTAGATAAGATGGAATAAGAGAAGCTATTAACTAAGGGGGATAAAAACAAATAACCAACCAGCCTCAGAAATCATAATGGGGGCGAAGGGACTTTCATGTGTTTGAATCAGAAGAAGGAGAGTCAAAGGGAAAACCAGGGGTTTGCCAAGTCCTTGCCTCCTGCCCTCGTTGTGTCTGTGTCCCATGCCTGCAGTTCCCACCCTGCACCAAGGCACCCCAGGGTGCTGCAGGGAACAGGGAACCCCTGGGATATTTTTAAATTTTGAGGGGTACAGCAACATCTGTCAGACCCTGTGCAAACTACTGCTATTAAGTTTTGTGGACTACTCAATAGATGGAACTGTTAGTAACTTTTTAACTGGGGTGGGGAGGTGGGGCATCAAAAAAATTATGATGTCACTTAGAATGTGTGAACGAGAAAGTTTGGGAATCTCTACCATATGCAAAGGCGTTTATCACGGAAGTGGTTTTGGGGTTCCGGGGGGCTGCCTGAGCTGAGGGGCCTCCTGTATGCACCTGCGCTCACCTGTCCTCAATTCCTTTCACAGTGTTTGGCATGCAGAACAATCTGGCCCCCAGCTCGTCCACCCTGTCCCATGGCATGACCACCACCTCCACAGGTCCGTAGCTGCGGTTTGAAGCTTGGGGGCTGGGGAGTTATGCCTCTTTGCAGCTATAACTCACAAGATCACCTTTCAGCAACTGAATAAGAGACACAAAACATCCCTAAAAATCAATCTACCTTTCCCACCAAAGAAACAGTCCCTACCCCCCGACATGGAGACGCCAACCTCGATCGTTTGCTGGCTCAGACATGAGTGAAACCGCAGGGAAGCCCGTGCTGTGGGGTGTCACCTCTATGTCCCTGTGTCTCACTGCTGTCCCTGACAGCCCACTGTCACTGTCAGTCAATCGTCTGGCTTATTTTATGTGCACTCCCTGTGCAAACCTGGGGATGGGGGCAGGAGAGCTGAGAACCCCAACTTGCTTACTGTTTCGCTGGGATAGAAAGTCTAATACACACGAAACAATTGGAGGATCCTACAAGACACGAATCAAGTTGTGTAAAGCAGGCATTAGGGCTGTGGGAGTTCAGAAGGGAAGGAGACGCGAGAGGGCCTAGGAGGACTTCGGGGAAAAGGCGGCCCTTGGAACAGTCCTAGAAGGATGAGGATTATACCAAAGAAAGTGCCATTTAAACTCTCAGTGTTGCCCCCATGGCTGGCAAGAGTTGATTTCATTATTCATTATTATTATTCATTATTATTGTCTTCCTCTCACCTGAGGAGGCTCCTGTCTGCCAGGGCTGGTCAGGCTGCTTCTAGCCTGCGTGGAGCCGCTTGCCCACCCTGGCCTCACTCACTCAGTGGTTCCTCTCCTGCAGCGTACGGTGTGAAGAAGAACATGCCCCAGAGTCCCCCCGTCGTGAGCACGGGCATGTCCACCTCTGCCGGTGAGTGCTGTGGGAGCAGCTGGCCACAGAGAGAATTGTTCCACAGTGACACCTGGCATATGGGAGGAGGGCATATGGCCCGTTGGTGGTCTGAGAGGAGGGCATATGGCCCGTTGGTGGTCTGAGATTCACAAATACAACTCACTCCAAGGGCTTCTCAGTTGTTCCCATGAATGAGCAGAGATGAGACACGTCCCTGACCTTACCTTGGCCTTCCTGTCCAAGGGGGCAGGAAGCTCCACCCTCCACACCTGCCTAGGGTCAGGCACTTACTCCCCAGCCCCCACCCCTGTCTGGAAGCCTTTGGCCTGCTCCTGTTACACGTTTCCCATCACAAGAGCCAGGGACCCCCTCAGAAGCTGCCATACCCTCCCTTCTCTCTATAGACTCTTTATCAACGTGGGTTCATGGCACATGGTGGGCTATCCCCTCCATTGCTCTGATCCTGATGTGTTTCCTTCAATGATTCATTCATTCAAAAAACATTTACTGATCACCTGCCTTGTGGGAGGCAGACACTGTTCTAAGGGCCCAAAGTACAGACATGAACAAGGCAGGCTACATTCCTGCCTTCAGCAGGCTGATATTTCCAGTGAAGGAGGCAGATAACAAAAAAGTAGACAAGCATACAAGATAATTTCAGAAAATGATATGTATTTGATGGAAAGAAATAGTGAGGTGGTAGAGACAGGCATGTGTGTGTGTTAGATGGGGTGGTCAGTAAAAGCGTCCCACCAAGATGCTAACACTCCAGATGTGAAGGATAGAAATGAACCCAAGTTAATTAAAGAATGGCCTGCCTAACAAGGGGACTTTTGTCCATTCACTAAAGATCCTATAATGCCCAGGTGGGAGGCAGCCTCATAGGCCAGTTGCCCAATGCTTCTGACATTGACTCAACCTCCTGAAGGCCAGGCCCTCCCGGGAAGGGGAGGATGTCTCTGGTCCTCAAGATGCTTCTTAGTAACTGTCAGCGAAAGCAGGGCACCCTCAAATTAATCTCTCTCTTTTCTTCCTCCCTCCTTTTCCTTCTCCCTCTGGTCGTTTCTTCCCTCTGCTTTCTCCTGGCGCCTTTTCCTTCCTCCTCACCCACTTCTTTCCTCTCTAGCCAGCACTGCAAGTGTCCAGAATGATGAGCTCTTGCACAAGGACTGTAAATTCCTGATCCGGGAAAAAGACAACGTGCCTGCTACCAAGAAGGAGATGGAGCTGCTGATCATGACCAAGGACAGTGGGAAGGTCTTCACAGCCTCCCCCGCCAGCATGTCTTCAAGTACGTGGGAGCACACGTGACTTGGGTTCAGAAGAAAGACAGACAGTATAGAAGACCAAATGTCCTGGCCAGGTGGCTTGAGATGTTTTAAGAATGAAACCACAGTCATCCCATTCAAATGAAAAATGCCTGCTGAATGGGGTGTCCCAGGGTCTGTCCTGAGTGCAGATAAACCAGGAAAATTCCAGCAAAGAGCTCCCAGAGGGGTCTTTAGGGAACAGCAATTCTCCTAACCACAGACATAGGTGGGGGAACTAACCCCAGGAAAGCCAGGCCCTCTTCCTGCCAGGCTAACCTCCACCTCCCCAAGTGGAAAAGGATATGGGGCAGGGTTGGGGGAGTGGGGAGAGAATATTCCAGATTATCACGGGTTGTGTGCACAGCTTCTTTTTCAGAGGATACCCTAAAAAAGGAAAAGCAAGCAGCCTACACTGCTGACACCTACCTAATCTCAGACACTAATGGTAAGAGCAAATCTGATCACTGTCCACTCTGACTTCAGCCAACCCCGTGTCATTTATTTGTCATCTGAGACCTCTACTCAGAGTGTGGTCCCTGGACCAGCAGCATCGGTAACATCCGGGAGCCTGTCAGAAACGCAGACTCCTGGGCCCTAGCCCAGACCTGCTGAGTCTGCACTTTGACAAACCCCCAGTTGATGCATGTACGCACACGATGGAAGCAGACGCTTCCCATGGCACTTCTAAAGTCCACAGGGGCATTTTTTTCTCGCCTCGCTCGTCCTCCCGTAATTTTCAGAACTAATAGAAAACTGCTTTGCAAAGCACTGGCTAGCTTTATTTTTTTTTTCTTCCCAAATATCAGGATTGTCTCCTGGATAACTGCATTTCTTCACATGCTCTAGGTGCCGTAGAATCTCTCCAAATCACTGATTTCAGAGAAGTCGGTAAAGGAAGGGAAAAGTGAAGTCATAGAACATTTTTAGATAAATGCAAATGAAATCAGTTAAAATCCTCAAAAGGCCTGACTCTAAAGTCTTCAAAGTTAGCAGTTTTGTACATTTTAGGGCTTGACATGGGGCTGTGGAGCCAAAAGACCCTTTTCAGAATTTGATGACCACTATAAACAATTTCCCCGGAAAAGTCGACATGTGCTGCAAACACTCAATGGTCAGATAGCATCAGGGACTCACGAACAGCCCGACTCCAAGCCCATCCTTGCCATTCTGTTCCCTTCACCCCAGGCTGGGAACCGTATTCAAAGTCTCTTAACCAATAAATCAAGAGTCATTTCTCACAGCACATCTATTATTGAATGCAAATGTCACCCCCACCGTGGAAGGAACTCTGAAAATGTCTTGGGCTTTTAAAGTTCAGCTTCACCAGTGGGTAATGAAACTGTGCTTTCCCCCACCGTTAATTGTTTGCCAAGCCGTGTCTTCATCAATGGAATTGTTGCAAATATCAGATCAGCGAGGACTGAGTTAATGGGTGTTCCTGTACGCGGCTGTTCCGCAAGGTGCCTGGGGGACGTATTTACCTCAAGCCCTGCCCCAGGTCAGCACACGCACCGGCTGTCTTGTGGGATCCTGCAGTCTAAAAGCTCAGGTCAAAACCTGTGTTCTGGGGTTTGTCTTTCAGGAGACGTGAAGACTGTGTCCACAAAGGCCAAGGCCGCCTCTGCAGGTGGGTGAGAATGGCGGGTCCTGCAGCGACAGGAGCCGATAGGGCTGGTTATGGAGAATGAGCAGAGAGCAGCCCCCTGGCCTGAAGCCAGTGCACACAGGAGCCACCCACCTCTAGAGGGGTCCCCTGAAGGCTCGATGGAAGCAGGGTGGAGGGCAGTAGAGGGGGCAGGCTGCAGAAGGAACTCAGCTCAGGGGATGGTGTCCATATGCCCCACCGCCCCTGCTAGGCACCCACTGTCTGCCCATCGGTCAAGGGTCTCCCAACGTGGCAGGAGCCACACCAGGGCTACTCTTGTGTCTTACAGAACCCCCGCACGGCTTCAAGGTGACACTAAGACCACACACATCTCCATCCCTTTACACTTCCCACACTTGCTCCCACAGTCTTGTGAGAGAAGCAGATCAAAGTTTATCACCCCATTTTAGACACTAAAAACACTCTCACTAAAAAAAAAAACAAAAAAACTCTTCCTGGCCACCCCTTAAGTGCTAAGTGTAATTCTAGGCACTTGGGGATTACAAAGAAAGAGCCATGTGACCTGAGACGAGGAGATGGCAATGCTTTAGGTTTGGGCCAAATAATTTGGCAGATCAATGTTCATAATAAAGATTTTAAACCTAGTGCTGTGTGCTACACCCTCTGCTAATTACGTCAGATGCCTTATCTCCTTTCATTCAACAACCGTCCTATGAAGTAGATAATCTTTGAACCCCACTTAATAAAAAAAGGAAACAGAGAGGTTAAGTGACCTTCTCAGGGTCACACAGCTTGGGCCCAGGATTGTCACACTTCTGCTCTTCACCAGCCATGGCCCTGTGTTCATTCCAGGAGCCAGCCCCATCCTTCACAGAGCTGCACAGGAACCTGAAGGCCCCCACTCACATTCACTCGGACCCACAAGAATTCATCAAAAGCCAGAGAATTTGGAGGGAAGAGGGCAAGAGACACCTGCATACGCCTTACCTTTCCCTTCTTTTCCACAGATTTCCATGGCTATGACCACCGTAGCGGTGGTGGTGGCGGTGGTGGTGTTGGCAGCGGTGGCGGGGGCCCGTGGGGGGCAGTGCCAGCCTGGTGCCCCTGCGGCTCCAGCTGCAGCTGGTGGAAATGGCTACTGGGCCTGCTGCTCACCTGGCTGCTGCTCCTGGGGCTGCTCTTCGGCCTCATTGCTCTAGGTACGTGGGGACGGTGGCGGGGCAGTGGGCTCAACTGCCCGTTCAGAAGGGCAGGAATGTGTCCCAAGTGTCAGGGGCCAAGGAGCCTGAGGTCATGGGTTCAGACCCCTTGTTACTGCAGATGGGGAAACTGAGGCTCAGGAGGCACCTGGCTGAGGTCCCACGGCTGCTTAGTGGCAGAGCTGGGATTCTATTGGAGCTCCTGATTCCCGGCCCAGGGCCCCCTGTCCCTATAGTGGTCTGCGCTAACAATTTGACTGCCCTTAATAATCAGGCAGTACCTTTATATAGCCTTTTTTCTTTTTAAATTTCTTGTGTACATCATTATATTTCAACTTCTGTATAGCCTCCATCGTCTTCACCACCAAAAGTCGAGTTTCCTTCTGTCACCACTCAAACGTCCCCCTTTACCCCTTTTACCCTTCCTCCTTCCCGTCTGGTAACCACCAATCTGTTCTCTGTATCTATGTGTTTGTTTTGATTTTTCTTTTTTTTTTCCTGCTTTTTCTCCCCCAAGTCCCCCCAGTACATAGTTGTATATTTTTTTAGTTGTGCGTCCTTCTAGTTGTGGCATCGTTTTGCTTTTTCTAATCTTCCACATATGAGTGAAATTATATGGTATTTGTCTTTCTCCGTCTGACTTATTTCACTTAGGGTAACATCAAGGCCCACCCAGGTTGTCACAAATGGCAAGACTCCATCATTTTTTTTTTAAAGATTTTATTTTTTTCCTTTTTCTCCCCAAAGCCCCCCAGTACATAGTTGTATATTCTTCATTGTGGGTCCTTCTAGTTGTGGCATGTGGGACGCCACCTCAGCGTGGTCTGATGAGCAGTGCCATGTCCGCGCCCAGGATTCGAACCAACGAAACACTGGGCCACCTGCGGCGGAGCACGCGAACTTAACCACTCGGCCAGCCCCTGGACGCCATCATTTTTTATGACCGAGTAGATAAGGCTGCAGTGAACATACAGGTGCAGATACCCTTTTGAGTTAGTGTTTTCATGTTCTTTGGATAAATATCCTTTGCTTTCCATGCTCTGTTGCTGTTCCACACCAGCTCCCGGGGAGAGTGAGGGCCACCTCTGTCACCGTCTCAGATGAGAAGACTGACTCCCAGGCCAGGTTTCTTTAAGGCTCAGTTATGATTTTAAGTAGGTTAATCCCTCTGGAGCCACAACAGAGTGTCTCCGCATAAATATTCCAGCAACACGTCCCCAGTGGCACACCGCCACAGAGCCCGGAGCCCCCATTCCAGGCTCCCTTGAGGAGTGAGTGTGTGCCTGGAAGGACCGGCTCTGCCCCTCGGGCTGAGCTGCCTCATGTGTCCGTTTCAGCGGAGGAGGTGAGGAAGCTGAAAGCGCGTGTGGACGAGTTGGAGAAAACCAGGAACATGCGGGTTATGGAAGAGAAGGTCGAGGCTCAGGTGCAGGGTGACAAGCCTGAGGTGGGAACAGACATGGGGAAAACTGGGCTTTACGACGACGGCCAGAAGGAGGTGCTCTGGGAATTCGTGAGGAACAAGCTGATGATGGAACAAGAAAACGGTGAGCAAGCGGCAAGGCAAAGAGCCAGCCCCTCCCGGTCACTGGCTCCTTTGTCTCCGGGTGGAGCAGTGCCCCGTTCAGGGGACTCTTGAACTGTCTCCTCATTCAGTCCTCTGATAGTCCTGTGTTGGGAGGACCAGTGTGCGAGCCCATTTTACTGTTGGGAAAACCGAGACCTGGAGAGAATTGCCCAAGGTCACCCAGCTAGCACACTTTAGAATCTGACTGCTAGTCCTAGCCTTGGTTTTCTTCCTACTGTGCCGTGTATGTGTGTGTGTGTGTGTGTGTGTGTGTGTGTGTGTGACACAGAGGATATGCAGCTAACACGGGGTTTCCTTTCCCTTCTAGGAAATCTCCGAGGAAGCCCGGGCCCTAAAGGTACTGCAGTGGATCAAGACTTTTCCCTGTTCTCATTTCCTGCACTTGGAGTGGGTTTTCTGGGTGGATTGGAAAACTCTTCTTGTTTCCAAATTGAAAGATGAGCAGTGGAAAGACCTTACAGTATCTGTTGGGAGGGCTGAGAATTGACTTTGCAGTTAGAACATCCTGGAACGGGAAGGGACCTAATACATCATGTAAGGGAAGCCCAGCAACGTGCCCTAGTGACACAGGCAGAGATGGAAAGGGGCCCACGCCACATGCCAACTCACCTTGAAACGCAGTTTAGGGATTCTCAGCTGGTCTTAGCATATGGGGAGAGAAGGGCCCTTGGGTTCTCACCTCATCTCACAATTTTCATATCTTTCTGATTTTAGGTGACATGGGAAGTCAAGGCCCTAAAGGTAAACAGAACACGGAAATTTCTACCTTAAATATTTGTGAGGGTCAACTGTTTAAAGCAATCAGCAAGCGTCAGAAACCCCCCTCATGCTCTCCTGCCATCCCCCTTCTGCAGCGGGACCGTGAACTGCAGAGCAGTCTGCAGGCTCTTGGGGGCAGGGGGCTCATGACTCCGCAGGGCTATACATCTCTGAGGCAGCACCTACATCTTCTCAGGGCCCCAGGGACCCTCAGAACAAGGACCCTGAGGTGGCATGTGTCAAGGGCCCACTTCTCTCCCAGCTCCAAAGGGCAGTCTGAGGGCCTGCTACTATCATCCTCAAGGGAAATTTCTAGAAATACAGATTCCTGGGTCCTGCCAGGAATCAGATGCTCCTGCATCAGCTGTTCTGGGGCTAGACCTCCCCACCCCAGGTTAATTCGGCTGAACCAGGTCAGGAACCACCGCCTGCTCTCGGGGGTCTTAGCCAACGGGGGCTGGGGGTAGAACCCAGCACTGAGGACCCTGTGGGGGAAATCCAGTAGGAGCCACACCACCTGCCTTCAAAGGGCAGGTAGTCTAGCAAGGAGGCAGGACATATTCACAGGAAAAGGTGCCCAGCCATCTTAGTTGGGGGACAATCACGTGCTAACTTATGTGGCACACACTTAGGTGCTGTGGGAAATTGACATATTTCCTCAGAAAAGTGGTTTGACAATCAGTGGACAGGTCCACGGGTGGGAGGAAGAGGTTTCCAATCCCAGTGACGGCAGCAGAGCCCCTTGATCTAGCCCAGTGGAGTTTGCAACTTCAGTGCGTTTAAGAATTGCCAGAAGATTCTGGGCCCCACTCCCAGAACCTCTGATTCCGCAGGTGTGGGTGGCCCGGAGCCTGCAGTGTTGGCCACCCTGTGTGGCTCTGAGGCCAAGGGCGCGTGGTCCATTCTGAGAAACACTGTTCAAGGTGACAGGGCCACCTTTCTGTCCCCAGCTCCACCTCCCTTCCCAAGAGATCCCAGTGCAGGAATTGGGGCTCCTCCGCTTGGTGGCCCTCCACTTCTCATCAAGATTCCCTGCTGCCATGCGCACACCCTGGGTCACTTCCTCAGCCCCCTTCCCCACGGCTTCAGCCAGCAGGCCACACACCCCTCCTGACCATGCCGGGGACGGGGACCAATGGTCCCAGAGCCCCTCGGCCTGCGGTGCCATAAAATACAGGGTGCCCAATTAAACTTGAGTTGCAAATAAACAACAGAAAGTTTTTCATTATAAGTAAGTCCCAGATGTTAGATGGAACATACCTATAGTAAAAATTTATTTGACGTTGTCTGCAATTCAAACTTAACTGAGCACCCTGTGTTTTTATTTGCTAAATTTGGCAATCCTACCTGAATTCCACCAGCGGCTCCTCTGAGTAGCTGGCCCGAGTCCTCTGGCTGACCTCTCTCTTTTGTCTCTGTTCCCACAGGAGACCGAGGACTCCCTGGGACTCCAGGTGTGTAACTTCTGATGCGTGGCTGGGATTGCCGGCTCTCAGTCCCGGCTCCCGATTCTGGGAGGAAACAGGGCTGAGAAATTCTGTGTATCCACAGGTATCCCTGGGCCCTTGGGCCACCCAGGTCCAGAAGGACCAAAGGGACAAAAAGGCAGCGTGGGTAAGAGTCACTTTTTCTATTCGCTCATTCCCTTATTCATTCACTCATTCAATAAATGTTTATTAAGTGCCTGCTGTGTGCCAGGCCCTGTTTTAGGTGCTGGGGAGACATCAGTGAACAAAACAGAGAAACCCCTGCTTACATTTGGGTGGGGGAGAAGGGCAGCTGACCTGATAAATAAGAAAAGGACATAGCAGAGCCGGAGGTGGTTGGTGAAATGGCAAAGACAGAGCTCGGCAGGGCAGTGGGAGTGCTGAGGGGGTAATTTTAAATAGGGGCCTCACCGAGAAGGCGCCATTTGAGCAAAGTCTTGAAGGGAGTGAGGTAGCCAGGCACCAGGAGATCTGGGGGGCACATTCCAGGCAGAGGGAACAGCCACAGGCCCAGGGGCAAGGGTGCCCCCACTGATCAGGGAGCAGCAGGAGGAGGAGGAGGGGGAGGAGGAGATGGAGGAAGTAGAGGGGGAGGAGAAGGAGGGAGAGAAGGAGGAGGAGGGGGAGGGGGAGGAAGGGAAGGAGGAGGGGATGGAGGCCTTGGCTGGAGGCCACAGGGAGGCAGAGGGTCCAGACGGAGGGGCAGCGGGCGAGGCCGACCCTGTGGGCCTTGGAGGCCCTTGTGAGGACTTGGGCTTTTACGCCAGTGAGTTGAGAAGCCCTTTGCAGGTTCGAAGCAGAGGTAGGACCTGATCCGCTTGCCTTTTCGAAGGGTCCCTCTGGCTTTTGGGTTGAGCCTGGGCTACAGGGGGCAGGAGAGAAGCAGAGAGACCGCTGTGGAGGCTCCTGTGGCACCAGGTCCTAACTGTGAGGTGGCCGTTCCCTTCTGTAGGAGAGCCCGGCATGGAGGGACCCATGGGCCAGAGAGGGCGAGAAGGCCCCGCGGGACCCCGCGGTGAACCAGGGCCTCCTGGGTTTGGAGAGAAAGGGGACAGAGGTAAGAGGCGATGCCTTCACGGGGAGGGGTAGCAGCTCCCTGCTTCCTCCTTACATCTTCCTCCCTCCCTCCTTCTTTCACTAGCACTTGCTGAGCCCCTGCCTTGAGCCAGGAGTGGGGGTCTGTGCCAGGCCCTGTGGAAACAGTGGTCTAAGGAGGGGGCGTGAGCTGGCTGTGGTTGCAGGCCTAGGGCTGAGAACCCTACAGTGCTCGCAATCCATGGGGAACACGGTCACAGGAGAAAGGGTCTTCCCTAGTTGGGGGCAGGGGGTCAGGGCCTCCACACAGGGCAGTCAGTACCTGACCGAAGGCGGAGTTGGGTGCAGGCCCTTGAGCCTCTCGCGGCTGGAACTAGGCAGGGAAGGAGGCACAGAAAGCCCCAGACACGGGCCCAGTCCTGGAGGAGGCTGGGAAGATTTTGCAATTAGATTCTTAACCATGAATCTGCTTTTATCAGGGGAAACTAAGCGCAGACTCCAGAAATTCTCTTGATGCCAAAAGATCGTGAGCAAGAAGCTTTATTGTTAACTTCATTTTCTCTTAAAAATATTGCTCAGCCAGGCAACAAATATTTATTGAGCGCCTACTGGGTGCCAGACTTTGTGGAATGTGAGGGCTCTGGGGTAGAAACTGAAGGTGTTTTGGTGACTTGTGGCCTCATGGAGGCACCAAACGGATCAGAGATCACCAGCAGGGTGAGGAGTGCCCCTCACCACACACTCAAATGATACCACCAGGCTGGGCAGACAACCAAACTGAGGGGCCACTCTCAGAGTGCTCATTTCTCCCCAGGGGCTGCTGGTGTGCCGGGCATTCAGGGCCCACCTGGTGTCCCAGGTTCTGTGGGTCCCAAAGGTAAGTCAAGTGCCCAAGTTTGCCACGTCCAGGATGGATCACAGAGGTCCAGGTGCTGGCATCCCCGACAGTCCTAACCCACCAGCCCAGACCTGGCCGGGGTCCATGGGCCCAGGGAGGGTTCCCCCACAAAGGAGTCCATAGGGGTCAGGATTGGGGCCATATTTTTGGCTCCATGGTGGATTGGGAGCCACATTTCCATCTCTCTTCGACGGCCCCTAAGTGGGTAGATGGATCAGGATATCAGAAGTCAGACAATTTCCTCGCCTGGCTGGGGCCCAGATGCACACATCTGAGAGGAACATGTCTGGACAATCCAGGCCAATGGGGCCTTCTCACAGTTGGATGCCATCTGGTCACCTCTCCTCCCTACCCCTGCCCCAGCCCCAAGGTTCTACTCTGACTGGGAAGGATAGAGGGGTCTCTTGATCCCACCCGGCTACAGCTTCCTCCCTAAGGAGAACCTTGCCCTGGGGTCACTCCTGGACCCACTGACTCCGGGGTCCTGGCAAGAACCCACACCATATGGGTGACACCCACACTCACAGCCCTCACCTGGAAGGGAGCTCTCCCACCCACCCTTCACCATGGGTCGGACGGCCCTGGCCTGTGCCTGACCCTTCTGATAATTGTTGTCTTGTCATCCTTCTCAGGTTCCAGCGGTTCTCCCGGCCCACAGGGTCCCCCAGGTCAGTGTGCTTCTTCTTATAAATAGATGCTATTTCTGGGGCAGAGAAAGGGGTGTAAAAAGCAAAAACAAACATTTTTAAAGCACAAGGAGCAATTATAAAGAGAGCCACCTGGAGACACGAAACTCACATCCACGCGTGTGGCCCTGTGGCCGAGGTCGGGGACCTGGGGGCCCTGTGAGATCCACTCTCGCCTGGCTCGGGGCACGAGGCCCTCCAGCAGCTTCAGCAGCAGACGGCCCCCTCCTGCCTTGATCTGAGCGAGTGTCTGCCTCTACCTCAGCCCCTGTGGCTCAAAGAGCTCGTCCTGCCGTCCTGGGCACCCCGAGCTGCAGCCCACACTGTAATGCAGGCCAACGTCTCTGCCAGGGCCCGTGAAGCATCCTTCTGCCCAGGGCCTGGTAATCCGGGGGGCAAGGAACCTGGGACAGGATGACGTAGCAGGGACGTGGGGAGGAGTCCATGGAAAGCCCTTGGTGTGTGTGTGTGCGCCTGTGTGTCTGTGCATGTGTGTGCCTACGTGTGGGCATGCGTGCATCTGGGTGTGTACCTGTGTACATGTGTGTGCGTGTGTGTTTCCGTCCCTCCAAAGCTGGGGACAACCACATGGTTTCCTCTGCTTGCAGGCGCTATAGGTCTCCAAGGGCTCCGAGGCGAAGCGGGACTCCCTGGTGTCAAAGGTAAGCTGGGAGGACGGGTCGGGGGAAGGAGATGTCCCCTGTGGATGCCTCTCACTCACGAAGGAGGTCTGGGGGACAGGGAGGGTCTGACGGACATGACCAGCCTGTGCAGGCTGACGGGTGAGTGAGGGGAAGGGAGGTCAGGACAGCGGGGAGCCTGCCTTCAGACACAGACACTGCCCCTTCTTGGTCGTCCCTTCCAGGGCTCTTTACACCAAGGTGTCCATTTCCTTTTCAGGTGACAAAGGGCCTATGGGACCACCAGGACCCAAAGGTATGTTGCTCCCACTGCCACTCAGACATCACCACAGTTTGCCAACTCCTGGGAACCCAGGTGTGACCCCTGCCCTGGGGTCCAAGAACGCAGATGACACTGGCTCCTGGACCCCAGGACTGGAGGGATCCCGGAGCTCATTTTAGTTCAACCTCTCAGATAGGGAAACTGAGGCACAAAGAGGGAAAATGAAGTAGCAATGTTGGACCAACATCACAGTGCAATGCTCGGTGGTCCTCGGGGTGGTGAGGATGCAGCACTGAGGCATCCCTCGAGTCTGGCCCCCCTTGTGTCCACAGCACCCATGTGTGTGACAGCAGGGGCTGGGATCAGTTTGTAGGTCGGTCCTGACTGTGGGAGAGATCCATCGTGTCATCTGGCTTCGTTAGTGCCATGTTGTCCCCGACATCCAGAGCTCACAGATACAATGAGAAGCATTCCGCAGCCAGGGTTCCCTGTTACTGCGTGAGATTGTTTTCCTTGCTCCTGACTGATGCTTCCTCCTCACCCCACCCCATGTTCATTTTAGGTGACCAAGGTGAAAAAGGACCCCGAGGTCTCACAGGTCAGTCCTACACAGGAGTCTACTTTGATCCATTGAAGACTTTTCGTAAATCCATTGGGCGCTAGAATTGGGAAAAAATACAGAAGGATGAGACACAGTCACTGTCTAAAAACCTTCAGGGAACTTGCAATCTAGAAAAAACAATGACAAGATAAAATAAAGCACTGAATGGAGTATAAGCCAGCGTCCAACTGTATAGTCCAGACAGTAAACATCTGGGGCAGGAAAGGAGGTTATGTTCGCCTCTGATTCTTTGGGGGAATCCTGTTGGGAAAATTAAGCTCTTCCCAAAGTAGCAGAAAGTTTGCAGTACTTTCACCCTCTCCGCCATTTACCTCCTGACAACCTGCCTGATTAAAAAGGAAACTAATAGTAACAGTGCTTGGGCTACAAGGGGCAGTTCTCTGTTGCCAAGGAAATAAGACTCCTCCACGTGCCCCTGCAGACCAGGTGTGGCTTCTGGGCCAGTCTGTGCCTACTGCCCTAGGGGCGGGGGTGCCCCTGAGGCCTTGACCATAGGATCAAAGCTGACGCTGCATCCCCATCCGCTGGTCCCAAGCTTCTCTGTTTGGGGAGGAGGCAGGCTTGTGGGTGGGTACAGAGGGTGGAGCATCCCACTACTGTCAAGCACACGTTGCTTAAAAGCTTCCAACCAGCTAGCCCCTTTCCTTCGCAGGCGAGCCTGGCTTGAGAGGTTTGCCTGGCTCTGTGGGCGAGCCCGGGGCTAAAGGAGCTATGGGTGAGTATCCCCAGGAGACGAATGCAGTGGTCTGCCCCATTCCCATTGTCATCGTGGCCCTAGAGTGGAGATCCTTCTAGCGTTGCCTCTCCTGTTCTCTAGTCTGCCCACGCCCTGGTAAAGGGTCCATTTACAGGCCGTTTCTGGGTCTGGGCATCCCTCTTGGGGCTCAGAGCTGCAGCTGTCTCTATGGGTTTCTCACTGCTCTGGGGGGCTTGGCAGGGCACGGCCAATCTACCCTGGTTCCTGCCACTAAGCCACCCAGGTCCCCAGGGAGGATGAACAGGTGTTGAGGTCCTTTGGAAATTCAGTGTTCCAGGCATGGCCCTGATACTCCAGGGTTGGTCTCACAGCCAGAGCCAGTGTCCAGCCCTTTTGCTGACCCTCACTGAGGGGCCTGTCAGCCAGGACATGGGAGCTGGCCAAGGCCCCACAGAGGGCCAGGCGATTAGCAGTAAGTCCTAGGAGGGTTGAAGCCGCAGCAGTGGGGATGTGGTGTATTTACTACCTCGTTCATTAACAAACTGTCAGGAAGCGCTGACTGCATGCAGGATGCCGTGCTGGGCAAGTCAGATGCTTTATCTCCTTCAAGGGGAGATAACGCTGTGTGAGGCGCCCAGTGCTGTGAAAGGTAGAGAGTCTATGAGGATACAGTAGAGAGAAGGATTTCTCCTAAATGGAAGGATGAAGGTGGTGACGTTTTTGGCTGGTCCTAAAAAAGTAAGGAAGATTTATAATTTTGATCCATTTGGAAAATTCCATGTAGAGACAACAACAATGAGTGAGGAAAGACAAAAATGTGGGAAAAGCAAGGCCATGTCCCAGAAAGACACCAGTGGACAGAGGTTAGGCTAATGCGCAGAGCACAGGAGATAAGAACTTGGAGAACCTTGACTTCCGGGAGCTTGAGTAAATGGGGCCGACATTTATGGAGCATCTGGGGTGGGCCGAGTCCTCTGACAGGCGCTGGAGATGCAACAGGGAATCGTGGAATGGTTCTCAGCAGGAAGACAGACAAGTACTGGTTTAGGGGAAAATGACAAGGAGACAGCTGAGTGCAACAATGCCCAGGCCTCTTCCGTGGTCGCCAGCTATGGGACAGGCTGTGCAGGCTCCCCCAGGGAGGAACTTGCTGAGAGGCTGTTGGACAGTGGAGGGAGGGAGTCCCAGGGCAGCTCCCAGAGGCCCTGAGACACTGTGGTTCTGATTTCCTAGGACCCGCTGGCCCAGACGGACAGCAAGGCCCAAGAGGTTGGTCACTGATCTGCTCTCCTTACTCTCCCTGCCCCTCCCAGCCCTGCCCACGTCCCAGCACGCGGCCCCCATCCCCCTAGTTATAACACCAGAAGGGCATGCGTCATGTGGAAACTTGCAAGGTCTGGGTCTTGTCCCCTTCGCCTTTCCACCTGCCAGCAAGTTCCTCAGTAAAACCCCAAGAAACCATCGGCTGTGCTGGCCAGTTCAGCCTTCCGAAAAGGAAAACATTTCCATGTTGGTCATGCTCTCTCTAGGCGAACAAGGTCTTACAGGGATGCCTGGAATCCGGGGCCCACCAGGACCTTCTGGAGACCCAGGAAAGCCAGGTAACAGAGCAGGAAGAGGGAGCCACAGCCCTGCTCTGTATGTGTGTGTGTCTATGTGTGCGCACTCCTTATCCCACTTTCCTCCAGCAGCTCAGCAGGGAACTGCCACAACTGCTGGCTTGTACTGTGTGCAGTGGCTGTGGGCCCCGACACCTCCAAGTCACCATGTCTGGCAACTGGGGAGGGAGATATTAACAGCTGAAAGCAAGGGATTCTAGAAAGGGGCAAGAAGTCTCTTAAAAATTGCAGAGTTTGAGCCAGCCCTGATGGTCTAGTGGTTAAAATTCGGTGTTTTATTTTCGTAGGTCTCACAGGACCCCAAGGACCTCAGGGTGAGTCATCAGGTCACTCCCACCTCTAAACGCCGCCTGCTGAGCCTCCCATTGCCAGCATTCGGCAACTGCTTCTCCAGCCACCTTAAGAGTCTCCTCTCCTCCTCCCCTCGCTCCCCCAGCAAAAGTGCGTTCAGCAGCTTTTACTGTGAGTCTTGAGAAGCACTTTAGGAAGGAAAATATGCACAGAACAATCATGAAAGCTATTCTGGGAGAAATGAGGTTAGACCACCTGCCAATTCTGTCTGCCTGAGCCCCTTTGGTGCAGGAACCCCTAAGAGGGGGCTCCGAGCACGGGAGTTCCATTAGCCCCACAGAGGCCCGATCCCTCACTGGCATGGTAGGGAGTGGGAGCTCACCTCATGCCGAGGGCCCAGTTTCTCTGGGACAGACTCAGCGTCCAAGTCTGTCCTATAGTTGGACCAGTGTGCACCCATCTGGATTGAGAAATTTGAGAAAACCACAGCCAGCCCCAACTCCTAGAGGAAATTAGGCAAAGATGTAAAATGAAATCAAGCAGAGGTACCCCCAGAAGTTGAGCACACAGGGACATCCTTCAAATGCTCCCCAGTGGAGCTCAGGAGACAAAACAAGGAGGGGGTGTTGCATCAGTTATAGGAAGCCCAGCATCTGCTCCCCACACTGCAGGGCAGGGTGGGGACCACAGCTGCTTTGCAGGCTGCAGGGGGCTCATAACCCAGAGGGACTGGGATCCCCCAGGGCTGAGTCCCTGGGCCTCTGCCTCCCTCTAGCCCAGCTGTGGCCCTCCTTCCCAGAGAAGGAGAAGGGCTCAGAGCAAGAGGCTCCCCAAGGGGCCGCCCGGGCTAACGCAGAAGGCAAAGCCAGGCGGGCCTCCAGGGTCAGAAACTGCAGCTGTGCCAGGTGACTGGCCGCTAGTTACTACCGGAGGGTGTCTGGAATTGCTGGGCCCAAATCATCCTGATTGACTTGTTTTTAATCGCATCAGGACTTCCTGGTACCGCCGGCCGACCCGGGCCTAAAGGTAAGTGATTTTCCAAATCGGAGATTCTTTCTTTTCACTAGCCATTTTTGCAGGGGGCGGGGGGAAGGGGGGAAGAGGAGATTGGCAGGAGGGAGGCCCCTCTCTGGTGGGAGCCTGGATCAACAGTGGCATCTAGTGGCTTCAGTGAAAGGCCGTGAGGCTGGGGAGCCAGGCATTTGGTCTCATCAACCAAGCCCTGAATCCTCGGCCCCGCCCCCACCCCCTACACCTCCCCGCCCCACAATCCTGAGCCTGGCTTTGGTACTGGATGTGGGAGGAGGATCTGGAAGGGTGCTGTCCCCCTAAAGCGTTTCTGTCCCCTGGATTGCCTCTAAAATGCCCCCATTAGTGCTCCACCCCTCTCGCTTAGGCTTGGGCCTCCCATAACATGACCCTTCCCTGGGATAGGAACCACTTTCAGCCTTTTCATTCACGCAGGCTTCGGTGTGACTGGGAACGCCACATCCTTTCTGAGAGGGGGCTTGTAGGCAGGCAGGGTGGAGCATCTAGATACTACTAAGAGGACACAGTCAAAGTCATCCTCAGGGGTCAGCATTCTAGAAGGGAAGTCATCCTCAGGGTCAGTGTTCTAGAACAGAAGTCATCCTCAGGAGTCAGTGTTCTAGAAGAGAAGTCATCCTCAGGGGTCAGAGTTGTAGAGGGGAAGTCATCCTCAGGGGTCAGAGTTCTAGAGGGGAAGTCATCCTCAGGAGTCAGTGTTCTAGAAGAGAAGTCATCCTCAGGGGTCAGAGTTCTAAGAAGAAAAGTCATCCTCAGGGGTCTGACTGGGGCCCACTTGGTGACTCTGACATGCAGGTGACACTCCTGTCCTGTTCTGCTCCTCTGCCATTGTCCAGTTCTTCACCATCGGACCCCAACCCTGAGCCAGTCCAGGGATAAACAGTGCTCAGGGACAGTGTTTCTCTTTCTGTCCCTGTGACTCCACGTTCCTGAACCCTGATGTTCTGTACAGTGTGTTCTGTCATGAACAGTCACTGTCACCTTGGGGGGACCCTAGGAATGAAATAACTACTTTCCAGAAACTATTTCCAATCACTGGTTGGGCCAAGGAGTTCTTTCAGGACAAATAAATGTAATTCCAAAATAATAAGAACTGAGTTCATACATTGCAAGCAGGCAAATCTCTGGGCCCATAGATCTATTCATGGATTGATGGCACCTTTAGTAAGAGACTCATAGGTTTGGGGGTTTCCCAGGATATCAGACATCCAGCCCTTCTCAAGGGCCTATGACTTCCTTCCCAAGGGGGACTTCAGACCCTCCGTGGACAATGTGCACAAGAGGTGGACGTTTTACCTAATACTGGGTGGTGTTCCAGCAAAACAAACTCAAGTGCTTTCTCCTCTTGGCCTTGACCCACAGAGCAAGCAGAGCCCATCCCTCTACTTTCCCTGAGGGGGAAATCCCTTGTTGGGTGGATGACTGAAGGGCCTACAGACCTTGGGAAGTGACAGAAGAGGCCCCTAAAGAACCCCCAGGGGAGGGCTTTTCCATCCTCTACCTCACTCACTTGGTTCCCCAGTCTGTGGATTTCCAGTCCCAGAGATGCTTCATCCATTTGGCATCCAATGGTCAATAAGTTTGGGAAGAGTGTGAATCTGACATCCTCTCCTTGGAAGTCCTCCATGCACATTAGCATTTGCAGCCCTCTAAGATGAAGGCAGAAAAGAGAGCGGTTAACCTTTACGTAACTCAGGATTTCCCAGACTTACCAACCACAGAACCTCCTTTTACTCTCACGGCCCCTACATTGTCTGAGGGAACTAGCATCCTGAGCACTCTGGGAGCCAGGTCTACCACGCAGGCTCACCTCCTCTGTCCTTTGGCTTCCCCCAAAGGTGATTCCCAGTAAGAGCCTAAGATGCCGCATGTGGGAGAAGATAGAGTGTGGGAGAGGGAATGACGCTCAAGTCAGCCTCTTTCCAGCCTCACTGAAAGGCAAACTCTACGACATCCACAAGTGAAGCCCTTTTTCAGAGTTTCAGCTTCTTCCAAAAGCTAATGTGGGCCGAGAAGATGGATGCTCTGACCTCCAGGGTCTCCCGCAGAGAGACTGGTGCTTAATGCGTCCTGCAGGCTCCCCTTCAGTTCATTAAAATGTCTTTAGCCTGAGGGTTAGAGGCTCAGGAGTGCGTCTCAAAGGCAACCAGAAGCCTTGGAAATGATTTATTGAGCCACTAATTGATCCTGGGAACAACCGCTCTCCTTTTGCTCCCCCCAGGTGAACCAGGAGCTCCAGGCAGGATTGTGACTTCAGGTAGGTGGGCCCAGGAGGGGTCCCCCTTCTCATGTCTTTCTCTCATGTCCTGGGCATCTGCCCTGGCTCTGCCTTAACGTCCTCAGAGAAACACAGTCCGCGGGCACCGGGCTTGGGGCAGGATGCCATGCTGAGCTTGACGGGGCAGCGGCGAGGAGGGCGAGGGGAGTTCGGAGGCAATGCGAGCTGGGCCCACAGCCTGGCCTGGGTCCCAGAACCTCCTGGTGAGAAGGGCAGGGCTGAGTGTTCCATGTGCCTTCTGTTTTCAGAGGGGTCATCGACTATCACCGTCCCAGGCCCCCCGGGACCTCCTGGAGCCATGGGACCCCCAGGACCTCCAGGTGTGCCAGGTCAGTCGGTTTCCTTGCTTTGCCCCAAAACAGCAGCGAGCCTAGGTTGTATCAGACTATATCAGTCTTCATTCAAATCCTGAAACCCAGGGCAGGAGTGCAGGGAAGAGTAAGGAGGGGTGGAGAAAGCCCCTCCCAGACAGCTCAGGCAGCCGCGCAGGCCTTGGGACACTGGGCCCCGCAGCCCTGTTGGAGGCTCGAACAGGTAAATGACTTGCCTACGGTCACTCGACTAAGAAGTGGCAGAGTCAGGATGTGACCCGGGCTGTTCCTGCCTCCAGAGCCAGTGTGTGACCAGTCAGAGCTCTCAGTCCTCAAGTTTTTTCCTCTTGGAAAATGATTTGATAATATGCATCAAGGGCAACAAAAATGCTAGGAATCTATTTGAAGAAAATATCCCCAAATTGTCCAAAAACAATGAGGTCACCTCAAAACTATGAAGGCTTCAAGTTGGGAGATAATAGTGTTATTTAAAAGAGCAGAGTGCTGGATGATGTGTGCTCTGTGGTGGCAACTGTATTTTTACAAGATGCAAAAAAAAGAAAAATACTGGAAAGAAATAAAACAAAATGCTTACAAATTAAAGAAATATGGGTGACAATTTTTTCTATTTTTCTAAAATGCCTGTTACTTTGTTATATCTATTTTTTCACTATTTAAAAGTGTTTATGTGTAAATGAAATACGTAATTTAACATGACCAATGCAAGCATGGGTCAGCCTGCACTCCTGATGAGCTCCAGTGGGGTCGGGGGGAGCACTGAGGGCACTTGGAAGTCCCTAACCATTGAAGGACAGTGTCTGAGGGGGCAGCCCTGCCATCCCAGGGGCGCTGGTGCCTGGCAGAGGACTTCTCACTGGGTGCACCACGGGGCCGGTCTCGAATTGGTTATTGCTCTCAAATCAGCACACTGACCTCCGTGGGCCACTGTTCCATGCCCCCCGAGGAAGGTACATGTGTCCCCGGGCACCTGCCTTTTCTTTAGTTCTTTCTAGAACTGTGACCCTGGAGGTGTGATAAACCCTTTTTTTCCCCAACCCCATTTCCAGGCCCCATCGGCCCAGCTGGTCTCCCAGGACAGCAAGGTATGTCCCGTCCTGGAAGAACATCTGTCGGGGGCTCCGGCGGGAAGGCTTCCTTCCCTGGGTGGACTTGGGCCCCCGTCTTTAAGCCAAGTGAGAGACGAGCATTTTGGGAAAGGAGGTGAGGGGGTGGCCCAGCTCTTCACCACGGGCCTTCAAGGCCTCCACTGCCATGGGAGACACCTCCTCTCACCCCTTTCCGTGTTTCTGAGAAGGGAGGGGTCCTCTGGATGCGGGAGGGAGGAGATTGGGGCTCTGTGGCCCCCAGGTCAGGATCAAGCTTGGCTATTTTCACAGGCCTCAGGCCTCTTGGGGCCAGCCCCTCATCATCGTGCCACTGTCCAGTGATTTATCCAAATACCAAAACACAGTCAGGCTTAGGAAACACTGGTGCAGTTCCTCCTGGGCTGTTGAGGCTGCAAGACAGGAATGCTGACAGCCAACCTTTCTGGCCCCGCCCACCCCTTCTTAGCCCCGCCCACCTCTTAGCCCCGCCCACCCTGGGCACCTGGGCCTCTCCAGACGCTCTGCGGAGGGAAACTGTGATGGCTTACTGCAGGCGGTGCCCACCCTAACTGTGTCCTCCCCACAGGCCCACGAGGGGAGCCAGGGCTTGCTGGTGAATCGTTCCTGAGCAGCACTCAGTCCCTCTCCGAGGTCCTCTCCACCCGTAAGTGGCCCCATGTTCCCCAGGGCAGGTGACGCAGGGGTGGGAGTGGGAGAGAGGCCGTGACTGGGTCCTGGGGCAGCTGCACCAGTGAGTCATTGCAAGCCCCCGTGGGAGTCAGGATGGCCAGTTCTCCTGAAACGCACTGCAAGCCAGAAGGAACAGCAGGGGTTTTGTCAGCTGTGGGGGGAGGGAGGGGTGAGTCACTGGGGATGAGGCAGCTGTCATAGAGGTTCCCGGGATTCCAGGAGGACCAGGGTCACTTGGGGCCTCCGAAGTGAGCCAGATGCGGTGAGTGTCACTGGCGGGAGTGATGTCACTGCATCCCCCACTCACTGAGAGCCACAACAAGGCTCTGTGCGCTCTCAGCCACAGGCCCTGCCTGGGAGGGCTGACTCTTGGGTCCTCCTATTCCCAAAGTCCTCTAAAGATCTCAGGAGGAGATGCCGCAGGGCCTCCCACCTGGCCGCACGGACACTTGAAAAGCAAAGACAACAGCCAGCCGTGGTTTAGCAGTCACTGTGGGCCAGACGTTGTGCCACGGCATCTCACTGAGTCTTCACAAGGCCCCCGTGACAGAGGTCCTGTTGTCTCTGGTCGACAGCGGAGGAAGCTGAGGCTGAAAGAGGTCGAGGACTTGCCCAAAGCTGCCAGATAGAAGTGGTGGAGTGGGGATTTGAAGTGAGGCTGACCCACAGCCACGTTCCTACACATCTCTCCACACACCCATATCAGCTCTCAGCAAGTTCAACGGCAGCCCTGGCCTGCCTCTGAGCGAGGGGCGCCCCCAGCAGAGGGGGTCCCAGAGGGTTGTGTGCCATGCCCCAGGGCCTGGTGTGGGGGGGGTGGGTGTAGCCTGGGGGGCTTGGCACTGACGATCCTGGTGAGGGTAAGGCCGGCACAGAGCAGCCTCATGACAGCTTTTGCTCATTTCTGTTTTCTTCTCTCTATAGAAGGTCTTGATTTACGAGGTCCCCCAGGCCCACCTGGCCCACCTGGGCCACCAGGTGAGCATCTCAGGGATCTGTGGGAGGTGGGGAATCTCGGGAGACAGGGCACTCAGGCACTTAGGAAGCCAAGAGCCTGTTGTCAGGGGCGGGATCAGCTTCCTGAGTTTAGCATCGCCTCTTCCTCACTGTCTTCTGCAGGAGCTTCCATTCCAGGCCCACCAGGACCCCGAGGCCCAGCAGGTGAGAGCTGAGCTCCTGGGTGGGAGGTACGAGACGTGGAACCCAGAGCCCAGCCTTCTTCTGGACCGACTCTTAGGAAAGAGCTTACTTTCCCCTTCTCCTCCTGGGCAGAGGGTTCCTGGCCCACTTCTTGGCATTAGTAAGTCTTGGGCGTTCTCTTATCTAGGGGAAGGCTTGCCAGGCCCACCAGGCCCACCAGGATCTTTCCTGACCGGCTCAGGTAATGTTGGGAGTCAAGTCACGCCTGTTCTCCACCTCAGCCCTAGCCCCAGGATGGTCTTCCTGACCTACTCACATGCTTCCTCCTTCTGAATTTCCACCGGAGGTGTGTTTGCATAAACTCCATGCTACCTGACGCATGTACAGAGGGTGAACAATGCCAACCTGATCACCCTGATAGCCCGTGGTAGCCTAGCCTGAGAGAGAGAGCCAGCGCTGCCCTTGGGGAGCTTCTGGACTGACTGGGGAGACCTGGTTCCTGTTCTTGGGGAGCTCAGGTCTAATAAAGCAGACAGAACACATGCACATGAAATGAGATAAATGCTGACAGTACAACATAGAAACATGTGGAAATAACTTCAGAGCAAACAGTAGCCCAGAACTTGTCTCTAGCGGAAAATCCATCCATCCCTCCATCCATCCATCCACCCACCATCCATCCATCATCCATCATCCATCCACCATCCACCATCCATCCATCATCCATCCACCATCCATCCACGATCCATCCACTCACCATCCATCCATCCATCCATCATCCATCCACCATCCATCCACGATCCATCCACCATCCATCCACGATCCATCCATCCATCCATCCATCATCCATCCACCATCCATCCACGATCCATCCATCCATCCATCCACGATCCATCCATCCATCCATCCATCATCCATCCATCCATCCATCCACGATCCATCCACCATCCATCCACGATCCATCCACCATCCATCCACTCACCATCCATCCATTCATCCATCATCCATCCACCATCCATCCACCCATCCACCATCCATTTGACAAGAATTGATTGAGCATCCACAGTATGACAGGCACTGTGCTAGGTGCTACACCCTCACCAGCATCATTGCATCCACACTCAGAATATTTCTTTCCTCTGCAGAGACCTTCTTCTCTGGCCCTCCAGGCCCACCTGGCCCCCCAGGCCCCAAGGGAGACCAAGGTGAGAACAGTGTCTTAGGGAGCACAGGAGCCTATATGTGCCTCCTGCTTACCCAACTGGTGGCCAGGAGAGTTTGGATGAGGCTGGATGAGCTGGGGCGTTTCTTCATCCTCCTTGTCCTGTTAGGAGCTCAGCAGTCTAGAGCACGGGGTGGGGGAAGGCATGGTGGTCAGAAACTCTATAAAGAATCCTGCCTCTGCGTTGGCCTGGTGGGTGGAGAGGCATGAGGAACCCCAAGCTCTATGTCTGCTCCAGCCCTGGAGCCCATCCCCTCCCCCATGGGCCCCTTGAAGCCACAACACCTGGTTGGTTGTGTCTCACAACTCTTTGCCTTCTTCCCTCAGGCCCCCCAGGCCCCCGAGGACACCAAGGTACAGTAGAGCTGACATTAAACCAAACATGGGGTAGGGGTGGGGGTGGCGAGAGCTGACCTTCCAAGAGCCTTGAGCTTCTTGGGAATGAGTTTGGTCCAAACAAGCGAGAGCAGATCAGAGTGTGTGTCTCTGTGAATGGTTGAGAATTTATGTGTGTGTGTGTGGCAGCTCTAGGTACTGCCCAAAGGGCAGCGCAGCCCCAGCAGTCATGAGTCTTGGGGAGCCTCGGGAGGGGAGGTGGAGGTGGGGTCCAGGGCTGGGGCCTGGGGAGAGCGAGGAGAGCACAGCGGACTGTTCCCCTCTCGGTGTGTTCCTAAGGCGAGCGGGGCCTCCCAGGGTTCTCAGCCTCAGGTAAGTGCCGAGCCCCGCGCCATGGCTGCCTCTGGCTGCAGCCTCTCCCAGCCCTGGCTGACTGCACTGTGTGTGTGGTTGGCTTCCAGATTCCGGTTCTCTCGGACTCAACCTGCAGGGACCGCCAGGCCCACCCGGCCCTCAGGGACCCAAAGGTGACAAAGGTCAGTGAGGGAGCAGCCGAGAAGGCGGTGAGGAGTGGGAGCACGGCTGGCTCTCAGAGCCTGAATAGAGTGCAGCCAGTACTTATTGGTGCTAGAGGCTTGGGAGGAAGAAGAGGCTGCAGAAAGGAAAAGCTGGAGGGAAAAAGGGGCGGGGCTGTGGGATATAGTCTCTGCCCACAGGGAGCTCGTGGTATCATTGCAGAAACAGACTAAGAGACAGGGGACAACTACTGAGTCACAGACTGATAGGTGTGGTTGTGCTTAACTAAGGAGGGCTTCCTGGAGGAGGTGATACAAACAGGGCTCCTTGTTTTGGATTTCAGGTGATCCTGGAGTCCCAGGTGCTGTTGGTGTTCCTGGTGGTTACTCTCAAGGTAAGAACCAGAAGTGACCAAAGTTCCTCCCTTTCTTCAAGCGAGGCTGGTCGTGCCAATGAATGAATTCATTCGTTCATTCATTTCCCCATGGTTCAGTGTTAAGTCAGTACTTTCTCCACGTGCTAGGATTTCTGAGCTGCCTTTACAGAGGTTACAAGATCGGGGGTGGGTGGGAGGGAAGGACCCCAGGATGATAAAGACGATGAACAATGCTGATGACGAATGATGGAGAAGAGAACAGACCCTGGGAGCCAGGGGGGTTCTGAGACGAGGGGTCCGTGAGGGGTGGTGAGCAGGTTGCCGAAGGAAAGGAAGGAGCCTGGAGAGCTCCCATTTCAGACAGTGGCTGCTACAGGCACTCCTTTCCTCCCTTTGTGGGGGGACCCGTCTCTTTGCCACTGTCCTGTTTTCCCTGCTGAGAAAGAGCCTCCTTCCTGAGACCCTGGAAGCAGGACCTGGCCCTTTGTCTGACCCCAGGGTGGAGACACAGCTCAGCAGGCTTTCTTCCTGCAGGGGGATCACCATCCAGCACCGTGTTCCTGCCAGGCCCGCCAGGCCCCCCGGGGCCCCCTGGGCCTCCAGGCTCTCTCAGCAGCTCTGGCCTGGAGATTCAGCAGTACATCTCTGACTACATGCAGAGTGAGTGCCCGGGTCAGAGGAGGGCAGTGTGCATGTGTGAGTGGGGTGTGTGTGTGTGTGTGTGTGTGTGTGTGTGTTGGGGGGCAACAGTCTATACGGCCAGGCTCAGGTCTTTCACCCCTGGACCTAGGGCTGTAAGTCTATGAGCTCCCACTGTCCACACACGTAGCCTCATCCTCACCCCAGGAGGGACTCACACACTCGTCCACATGCACACACAGCCACACACACGCACATTTTCACACCTGCGCGCACTCCCCCAACCTCATCCCTGTGATCCCCGTGGATGTGAGGGCACCAGAGCTTTGTCAAATGGGGAGCTGACGGGAGTCTTGCTGGTCCACAGCTCTCGAGCACCACCTGACCCAGCACAGGCCTCTGCCTCCGTTTGTCCATCTGTAACAAGGGGAGTCTAGGCTTCCTGCTGGCTGTGCCTTGGGCCCTGAATGGGGTTGGGTGGGTATGTCATCCGTGGGGAAGACATGCCCTCTTGGGGGCTTGACTTTGCTTTCTTTCTTTGTTGGCAGGTGACATCATTAGGTCTTATTTCTCTGGAGTTCAGGGTCCCCCAGGCCCACCTGGTCCCCCAGGGCCTGTCACCACCATCAGGGGTGAGACTTTTGACTACTCGGAGCTGGCAAGCCTCGTCGTGAGCTACTTACAGAGTAAGCCTCTCCCCACCCCTGGAAGCACCCCTTCCTCCCAGGGTCCGCCGCTGTTCCTGGGGCCTCGGCTCTGAATCTGCTGTTCGCTTTGCCTCCCTTCTGAATGTGATGCTCAGTTCTGAACTCGCGGTAACCAGCCACCGGGACCGAGCTTCAGAAAGGGTTTGTCAGACTGAGAACAGAGGCCACGCTGCACAGCCATTTTTAAGACAGCCCTCTTGCAGTTGACAGAGGTGTCCTAAGTATATAAAAAGGCATCTTTCAGGTTGGAAGGATCTGGTAGGAGTTAGCATACTCTTGGAAACAGACTGCATTTCTTCCCAAACAAAATCAAAAACCACCTTTGCCCTTTCCTGCTTTCAAGATAGCCTCCTGATGCCCCCATTCGTTCATTGCCCCCAAATGGGCACAGCGAGCTGACCAGGTCTCTGTGATTCTGGAGTAATGAGGGGGCTGCTTCTGTACAGAGCAGCGGTAACCCGAGGGTTCCTTCTTGACAGCTTCGGGGACCAGCATCGGCCTGTCGTTGGCCTCCGTCTCTTCTGAGGACATCCTGGCCATGCTGCAGCGTGAGTGGCCTGCGGAGGGCTGGAGGGTGGGAGCGCCTTTGCTGTCTCCTGACCGCACTTGGCAGGCACGTCTTGTCCTGGTCTGAGCCTGGTGAGGGCTGCAAAGGGGAGGTGGTCCTTTGGAACAAGGACCCCTCCCTCATTGCTCCTGGCTGTTTGCAAGTCAGCAGCTGACTGGAAAGGGGGCAGCGAATCTCCCCTATGCCCCCCATGCCAGGCTACCAGGCAGGTGCCACTTCGGGTACCTGAGAGCTTGCTGACCGCCCCCCACCGTGGGCCTGGGAACCCAGAGCTCACACATCGCTCGGGAGCCAGTCTGTGTGGGGAGACCAGGCTGTGGCTGGCCAGTGGCATGGGAGCCCCATGGCTGGGGTGCGTCCATGCTAGCGCCTCCTCTCCTTTCAGGGGATGAGGTGCGTCAGTACCTGCGTCAGTATCTGATGGGCCCTCAGGGTCCCCCGGGGCCACCAGGAGCCGGTGGCGATTGGTCCCTCCAGTCTTTGGACTACGCAGAGCTGAGCAGTCGCATTCTCAGCTACATGTCGAGTGAGTGTCTGCCCTCCCGGCCTGCCCTCTGCAGGCAGGGGTGGTCACGAGGCCTGGCTGGGGACATGGGTGCTGAACTTCCCTGAAGTGGTCCCACCGACCCTCTCCTGTCAGGCTGCCCCAAATCCAGAGGGAAGGAGTGGAGTTCAGGGCTATTCAGACCTGTGGCCCCAGAGCAGGTCAAGGAGCCTGGCAAGGGAAACCAAAAGGAGTGTCTTGGGCACCGTCCTGCATGGAGTTTGCACACGACTCACACTTCTCTACACAGACACACACATACACTTCTCCATTCACACACCCACACGCTTCTCTTTACAGATCTTCCTCGATTTATAAGATTACATCCCAATAAACCCATCCTAAGTAGAAAGTATCACGAGTTGAAAATGCATTTAAGGCCCCTAACCTCCCGAACGTCATAGCTGGGCCCAGCCTGCATAAACGGCTCAGAACCCTTGCATTAGCCTACGGCTGGGCAGAATCATCTAACACGAGCCTAGTTTATAATAGTGTTGACTATCTCATGTTGTTTATTGAATATTGTACTGACAGTGACAGCATGGTCGTCTGGGTACAGAATGGGTGTGAGTGTATTGGCTGTTCACCCTTGTGATCGCGTGGTGACAGGGAGCTGCGGTCGCTGCTGCTGCCAGCGTCATGAGAGTAGCATACTGCATGTCACTAGCCTGGGAAAAGATCAGAATTCAAAGCACAGTTCCTTTCTACTGAATGCGTATCCCTTTCACGCCATCATAAAGCTGAAAAAGCATAAGTCAAACTGCTGTAAGTCAGGGACCACCCGTAGACACACACATACACTTCCCCACATACACGCACACTTCTCTACACGTGTGCACGCACATGCACCCCCCCACACACCCAGCAGGATGAAGGGTCTGGGCATTTTTGACTTGCCCTCTTCCTAGGACCCCAGTGTCCTCACTCGGGACCCTCTCTCTGAGTGACTCTCTCTGCATGGCTCTTCCCGCTGCCCCTCTCTTTTCCCTTCCTTGGGGCCCCTTCTGTCCACAGCACTCCTGTGTCTGGCTTCCTCTCTGACAGGAGGTTCCATTTGCCTTTCTCTGTCTGATCTGAATCCATCACAACTTGGGATTTTGTTCCCCAGGTTCTGGAATCAGCATTGGGCTTCCTGGCCCCCCAGGGCCCCCTGGCTTGCCGGGAACATCCTATGAGGAGCTCCTCTCCTTGCTCCAAGGTAAGGCTGAGCAGGGGACATCTGTCCAAGTGGTTTGGGACAGAAGGCAGAGCCCCTTGGCCCAGGCCATGGCTGACTCCTTGCTCTCCCTTGATGTCTCAGGGTCTGAGTTCAGAGGCATCATTGGGCCCCCAGGCCCCCCTGGGCCCCCAGGGATCCCAGGCAACGCGTGGTCCAGCATCAGCGTGGAGGACCTCTCATCTTACTTGCATAGTAAGGCGCGGACAGCAGGGGTGAGAAGGGCAGAGGATGGCAGCCCAGCCTTGGTGCTCTCACAGGTTCTAGCAAGGGCAGCGTGGAGAGCTGAATCCATTCACCAGTCACCAAGTCCTCCTGGAGCATGTCCAGGGTGGGCACTGGAGCCCTGGAGAGGGACATGCTTTCGGCACTGAGGGGGAGAGTGGGGAGAGACAGTGCTCCAGGTGCCGCCATTAGAGGCCTCAGGAGCTGTAGGTGAGCAGGTGTGAGCCGGGAGCTCCAGCTCTCAGCGGAGGAAGGCTGAGATGAGGCTCAGAATGGGGAGTGTGAGGGATGCCAGGAAGTGGGCGTGCCACGGGCCTCCGTTCACTCCTCCCCTCACCCGGGGCGGCCTAAAGCCCTCCTTTCCACAGGGGTGGGGGGGCCAACAGCGGCCCTGAGCCCGGCCGGGGACTCAGCGGTCTCAGCAGATGATGCCTGATCTTTCTCTCTCTCTTGCCTCCCACTCAGCGGCCGGCTTGTCATCCATCCCAGGCCCTCCAGGCCCTCCTGGTCCCCCAGGCCCTCGAGGGCCTCCGGGTGTCTCAGGAGCTCTGGCGACATATGCAGCTGAAAACACCGACAGCTTCCGGAGCGAACTGATCAGCTACCTCACGAGTAGGTGCCCCTGACACTGCTGTGCCTCCTGTGCCCCTTCCCAGACCTTGCTTCTCCCCGTAAGAGGGGCAGCAGGGGCTTGGAGGCCCCTGGAGGCCAGCTACCTGGGAGCCCCTCGGTGGCGGGGAAAGCCAGTTTCTTCCCACCTGGCGCCCGCCCCCGGTGCACAAGTGCCTGGACGTTCCTGTCCTGACACCCTGGGAGAGGTCTTCTTTCTCTCCTCCCAGACCCGAGCTCCCACTGATGCAGCTTCCTCCCACAGGTCCTGATGTGCGCAGCTTCATCGTTGGTCCCCCAGGCCCTCCCGGGCCCCAGGGACCACCTGGGGACAGCCGCCTAGTGTCCATGGATGGCCCCTACAGTCGGGGTAGCAGCTCCTCCTCAGGCAGCTCCTACAGCTCTTCAATGGGCATAGGAGGAGCCAGCGAAGGCTCTCTGGGCGAAGGGGGAGCCTTTGGCCTGGACATGGGCCTGGGCCGAGGCTATGGGGCAGCAGCAGGAAATGGCATGTATGGTGGCAATGGCGGATATTTTGGGGCTGGCTTTGCTGGAGGTCTGGATTACAACGAGCTGGCTGTTCGGGTGTCCGAGAGCTTGCAGCGTAAGTTGGGACACTTAGATCTCTGTGCTATGGGGGTGGAGGGGGGAGCACGAGAGCATCTCCACATCCAGGCTCCGGAGACTCACCCTCTCATTTTCGGAGCACCCAGGCTGTGAGGACAGCAATTCTGGAATCCGATGGGCAGGGACTGAAGACAGGAGGCCCCACCTCATTCTCAGCCAGCTTAGTTCGAGGGGCCCCGTCAGGACTGGAGCCACTGCAGGGAATGCAGCATGTGGGGGTCTCTGGCCTTTGCCTTCCCAACTAACCTGTGTGGGTCTCAGAAGAGTCTCTGTGATTATGATGGTCTCCTGGCGGGGCTGAGGGAGGGTGTTGGCTAAGAAGCCTTTTCTCCCTGTGGCTTACAGCCCAGGGATGCAGTCCAGAAGCCTTTGATGAAAGCCCACTGAGGCAGAGACAGAGCCAGTGACCAGGGGAGACAGAGGAGGGGCAGGGCCTTTCCCTTGCCGCCCTGAGTGTCGTCTCCTTGCAGCAGGAGTTAGACAACAGTGGGCACTGTACCCCGCTGTGAAAAGGGTGCCCACACTCTGGGTGTTTTACAGGTCAGGGCCTGCTACAAGGAATGGCCTACACTGTCCAGGGCCCACCAGGCCGGCCTGGACCCCAGGGGCCCCCCGGCATCAGCAAGGTCTTCTCTGCCTACAGCAACGTGACCGAGGACCTCATGGACTTCTTCCGAAGTAAGGGCGTTCCCCCCGATTGCTTTCCTGACACTTAACCTGCCTCACAGCCTCCCATGGGGGCTGCGCCAGAGAAATCAGTCTCCCGAAAAACCTCCAGTTGTTAACAATGGAGATGCTGAGAATTTCATAAAATCTAAGCTTTGTTTTCCTCTTATAAGTCCAAACTCTCCCACTTCCTACCTGTGTTACTTTGAACAAATCACTTTACCTCCCAAGCTTCAGGGTGATCTCTAGTCTAAGGCCAGTTTTTCCCCCCTTGCAGCTTATGGAGCCATTCCAGGACCCCCTGGGCAGAAGGGAGAGGTGGGCATCCCAGGACCCAAAGGTAAGCAGTGGCAGGAAACAGCCACCAAGATCCTATGTGACAACAACCTCTCGCTCCTCCATCTCTCTCCAGGCCCCACACTCCTGCTTCACTTAGCACGCCCCTATCTGTCCTCCTAGGTGACAGGGGTCCTGCTGGACCACCAGGTCGGCCTGGGTCACCCGGCCCCCGAGGGCACAAGGGAGAAAAAGGAGACAGAGGTAAGGCTTGGCTGCCACAGTTTCTGGAGAGCTGGGAGGCTGACACTCCACAGAGAAGTGGGCAATTTGTTCCAGACTGAGCCTGGAAATTAAGGCAAATGCCAATTACTAAAGGCAGACGCTGCCAACAAACGTAATTTGCATAACAATCAAATGAAAGCTGGGGAGAGAGGAAGGAGAGTGCCGGCGCAAGAGGAAAAGGAGAACCCATCTGGTAATGAAATAAGGCGAACAATTTAAGTAAACAGAGTCTTACAAAAGAGTTCATCTTTCAAGCCAGTTTTGCCGTGGTCGCGCTTGCCGTAATTGCCCAAGCTGAAGTCTCCCCAGGCCACAAGATATCTTTTAACTTCCTATTCATCTTCTAACTTTCAGGCGACCAGGTCTATGCTGGGAGGAGGAGAAGGAGAAGTGTCGCCACCAAGCCATGAGCTACCCTTGGCGGAACAGCCCCGGACCCGTTCTTGCAATGGCTTATGGCACTTAGGTCAGAATCTCTCCAGAGGGTAAAAGCTGGATTCTCTGCGGCCTCCTGAGACAGCACAGCCAATAGGCAACTAGAACTCTTGTGTTAGTCTGGAACTATCTACACAGAATTCGGTCAAAGATATGCAATCTGAAACAGCTCTGTGGGTGGACTTGAGTAGTTGCAGCGTTGTAGAATGAGTCTGACTTCTCTGCTATCTAGAACTGAGCCCCTTGGCTTCTTTAACACTTAGTTCAAACCCCCACCCAGGAAAGCCAGTTACGTAAAAGTTGGCTCAGGAGTCCTTGAGCTTTGCCTAAAAATGAGCCCAGAAAATGGAAGACGAGGATGGGGGTGGCTTCCAGGGGTGCCATGGGTGGGGTGTGTTCTGGTTAATGCTCTGAGGCTGTGCTACTGGCCCCTTGCTCCCCTGTTCACTCTGCATTCTCTAGTCACAGGAAAGAGTTGTCTAAGAAGCAACTCTTGCAACAGAAAAAGTTAAGAAATTCACTTCCACTGAAGGTGGTGACAGGCTTTCTAATAGTTATTTCTCACTACAAATCATATCTCCACTTGCTTAGAGAGGTTGATGGACTGTAGCTATGATGTGTATCCGTAGGTCTGTGCTAGAGTTGATAGCTATGTTCTACTGAACTAGACTGCAGCAAAGAGAAAAAGAAGGGCAACGGGCAAGGAAGAAAGGAAGGGAGAGAGGGAAATAGGATACCTGATGCCGGCGAAAGATGTCACTCTGTTCTGCACTTAGGAAATGCAGAAGGACTGGGCGCAGTTGGTTTTTAAGCACTTTTCAATGTCTAAAAACATTTACCTGGTCTATTAGATGAAAAGTCATTTCAATTGCAAAATTTCCAATTAAAGGGTTTTTTTTCTTTTTTAATATTACGTTTAATGTGATCCATCTAACAAAAGTAAAAGGGAGGGAGGGAGGGAAGGAAGAAAATATTTTGGGTTTTTTGGTTTGACTCTAACACTATTATAAACACAAGAAAACAAAACGGTTGAATCTTGGGACACAGTTCGTGGCATTTTGTTTAATCGTTGAGATCTTTAAAGGCAGATCTTTATCTGCAACTACTAACTCTACCTGGCCATATTACAAACCATCTGGAGTTTCCCTAAGCATAAGTTACTTGAAATAAACACATATGCAACAGATAAGCAACAAAATTATTTGGAATCAATGCAGTGATGTATCCTGGTGCAAAGGAGTTACAACCGCAGGGCAAGTAATAATATTTGGAATACCAAAACTCCTATTAAGGAAAAATCCACAAATATCAAATGCTCCACAGAAATGTATGGTAAAATCAGACCCTTAGTTTCAGAAGAGGCTACACTTGGCCAACTTGTGAATTTGTTACAACCTATGACACTCAATTGCTGGGCAATTAAAAACGGAGTTAAATTAAATTGCTTCTACACCTCTACTCTTCTAAAAGACTGGATTGTTTATTTTCTCCTGAGTGTCTCACGTATTATCCTGGGAAAAGCACACATGTAGTCTAATGTATCAAACCATTGCTAGCAGCACCAACCAGGCAAGCACTAAACACGCTGCCTGGTCTGTCTGCCTCCTTTATCACATCCTGATCGCTACCTGCTATGGATCAACACGGGAATCCCAAAAAATGAGTTTATAGGCCTTCAGAATTTCAAACAACTTCTTACTGTCTAATAAAATTATCATTGTGTATAATGAATGACTGCATCATGCCTTTTTAATATTTTAGTTTTACCTAAAAGCTGAGTCCATTCATTTCTGTAATAGTAGCTTCAGGGGCTCAAGTATGATGTCCCTTGAATGACTGTTATCTTGATTAATCAGACTGAGGAGTTTCCCGCTAGTTACTAGATTTACCTTTCTAGGCTAGCCAAGTCTTCATTGAGTCTATGACCAAGTGAAATAGGGTAAAAGTCCAAACCTGCTACCTCCTCTGGACAGGACCCAGAAAAAGGATGGGGAGGTATGAGATATGTCCTCAGCTGGATGGCGATAGATCTCAGCCCCTTTTGTTTCATTTAAAAAAAAGAAAAAAAGGTCAAGAATGAGCTCAATAATATGCAATGCTCCTGGATTAGAAAATGACATGCTATATGCCTCTCTCCAGCCAAGCTGAACATTTGCCAAGTGATGCTGCCTAGTGTCTACTGGATCTTGCATGAACATATCAATGACAAAAAGAGGGTATTTTTAGCAAACGTGAGGTCATATGGTTTGTGAAATGTTTGGTGATAAAATCCATCCCAAGGGAAAAAAATGAAATAAAAAATATGTACATGTATATATGTTGATGGAAATATTTAAAGCACCTCCCCAAGGAGGAGTGTGTGTGCTGAAAGACATCCCCTCCAAGTTCCCAGTAAAAACAACCTTCCTGCGTGGTGGCTACAGACGGTGAGGGATACGCGCGAGTCTGAGAGCGCCAGCAGACCTGGAGGGCTGCAAGTGTTAAAATACAACCAGGACCAAAAAGGCTGCAAGACTGTCACGCAGGAAAATCTAGTTTCAAAGATTCTCAAGGAAAGACTGCTTCCCAAAACAGATTAAGAAATAACTTTATTTTTCATTTGTCAATCCCATATTGAAAAGACATGTTGCTCCCAAATAAACAAGAGGCATTATCTGAAAGAAAATTCTTTCTGAAAATGTAGCTTGTGAAGTTATTACACCGCAAATCAGAGAAGGATCACAAAAAGCTGCAGCCAACATTTAAAACTGGTATAACATTCTATCCCAGGCTTAGTAGCAGAAGTTTTAAAGCTGTATCAAAACCATGTCAGCCAGAGAACAGCAATAGAGGCATTAACTGTTGTGCCTTCAACTTAAGAAATGCATTTAAAATATCCCATTTCCTATAAAAGATCATTTCCCAGAAAAGAACTGACTGATTTAATCAGAAGACTATTCGAACTGGAACGAACTCTCCTCTTTCACCTCAGTTCCAGGTTTTCCATTAATCAACAGTATCTCTAGCTAATCATTTGACTGAATTTGGCTTCTCAGGAGAGTCTTTGTCATGTAAGCACAGTGTGGAATGGGGAAAAGTGTGTAGTTACAAGGGAACTAGAAGAGTACAAAAGACAGTCACTTCTGAAACTCGCTGATGCTCAAGAAATCAGAGACCCTCCATCACAGCGGGTCTCATGTGCCTGAGAGCTTTGTGCTTGAGGAAACACTACTTAGAGGTAGCTCTGGTTCTGGTTTATATTTAGTTACAATTTGCTGTATCCTGTCACAGGAAAGTCCTAATATTTTCAGCAAAGTATAAGCACTCTAAATTTCCTCCTTACCCACCCTATAGCTTCCCCATAGAAAAGGGAAAGAAAAAGCTTAATTGTGACTCCATATAGAATAGCAGCTAACTCAGCAGTTCACGCCCAACCACGGATTGACAGGACTAGGAAAGGCAACCCGGTGGAACCAGCTCTGTGCGCTCGACCTGCAGAAGTGTGGCGGTCTGGTGTAGCTGCAGCACGCAGGGAGAAGAGGGGAGGCTAAGTAATTGGGGTACACATACAGAGACTTTCTTTTATGCATTTCATAGCACATTCTGCCACAGCAAGGAAACAATCAAATCAGGAATGGATTTGACTGTAATCTTTGATTTCAAAGAAGTCTGTGCCCCTCCCTCACTCCCCACCTACACTTCATGCAGGAAGAAAGATCACTATTATTTATTTGCATATAGGACCTAACAAGAAGTCGGCAGGGATGGGTACAAACAGCATATTCTATAACAAAACACTTTCTGAAAAGATTTATGTAACTTTACGTATTAAAATGAATGTTTCATTTCTACATTATGTATCATTTTGTAGTCCTGCACCCAAATGAATATGGCCACATCTGAAAGAGAACGCAAGCCTAACACTGAGTCCAAAGGGCAGTTTTAAGGGAGATGCAAGCGTTGCTAGTAAACTTAGCAGACTGTAACCATCCTACTCGGAGCCTCGTTCCTTTATTCAATCCTCTCAATGTCAAGTTGAAAGGAATAAAAAGAATCAAATATCCAAACCAAATTAATTATGTGTCACACACTATGCAGCAGACAGAATATCATTTAAATGATCCTGAAAAAATGTCCACTGCTTTAAGTATTAATTTTTTAAAAGCCAATAAACTGAAAATTTCAAAGGAGAAAGTGGTATGAGAACCCTCCTCTTCTCTCCACCTTAAAATAAATCATTAAATAAACTGAGTAAGATTATACTGTCATTTTTATCATAACAATATAAACAATTTCCATCATCATCCTGAATATTACTTTATAAAGATATATATTTTAAAAGGCTTTCAAAACATTTTTCAACCCAGCATTTGAGAATAAAGCATTAAAAGAGCTTTGTATACAGTAACATATTCATGTGATAAGTGTATGAATTTACAACCATACATAATATATATATATGTATATATATTTATATAAAAAACAAACTTGGCCAGAAGTTAAGGCTACCTACAAAGCTGTCCAAGTAAATTATGCTTGTCAAAACAATTACAAAACTAAAATCACGTGCATTTTTAAACCATTAAACCACTGACAAAAAAAGGTTCAGCATTCAAAGTTTTCAAATTAATCGCAAGAAAGTGCTACAGATATTTACATGTTCTTAATGTGAATCAGTGTTCCCACAAAGTTACATTTAAATTTTTCACCAGCCTCAAATGTAATATAACTAAAAGGTGAAACTTGTACAATTTGGTACCTAGTAGGTTGCAAAGGGCAGGCAGCAAGCATCATTTACAAACGTGCCCTCTCACACAGCAAAGCACAGTTTATAATACTGTTTGACCTGAAACGTGCTTGAAATTCTAAGCCTCAAGAGGGACTAAGAGTGAACATTTCATTAATAATTACACGTATCAGCAACCACATGATAAAGTTTAAGGCTTTTCCCACTCAGATTAAACTAAACAATTTAAACATGGGACAAAATATACCCAAAATACAAATGATTGTATTTTCAAAACAACAAAAAGTCATTTCTGACATCTGCCTAAATATTTTACTTAAATTCTTTTTTAAAAAGTATTCTGAACAAATGTCACTTTTAACATTAATTTCAGAAAATACATTTATAAATATAACACAGCCTGCAGGCCTCTGACAGAGTTTCAAACGAACAGAATTTGCTAAGATGGGAGAAGTCATTTAACCAGCTCATGCGCTATTTTAGGAAATAAGCTGGGACAGTTATATTTATATTTCTTTTAATTTGGTGAGTTTTACATTTCCAGTTTGGACATCTAAAAGCTACTTTTTTTTTCATCTTTCCTACTTTGTATAACATACATTTTAGGATGAAAATCTCTATCAAATGGTAATAGCAAAATTTATAAAACAATAATGCTTAATGCTAAGGATGTTCTGTCCCTGTTGGATCAAAAAACAAAATCCTATTTTAGACTTGACTGAAATTTAGTGTTTTAGGCACTATCTTAATAAAACTAGCACCCTGAATGATTAGTTCATGCCTACACAGGTAATTATTTTAGAAAAATTACTGAAATAATTTTTCTTTTTGAAAAGAATTTGTTGCTGTTTAAAGATAAAACCGATTTATTTACTGAATCAATATATTTTGAGCAACTCATACCTTTTTCAAGAGAGCTGATTCACCAAAAGAAAATTACTCCAACTCTCTACAGGAGTTTCAACTGTGGAATTTAGGCATCACTGAGAAGCTGGGTCAGGTAAAAAGATAATTACTAATACTTAGTGCTGTAACAGGCTTTCTAAAATAACTTTAAACACTATATTTCTAGTAGTTTTTCAGGTAACAGTGTCTAAAGAACACAATTTTTAAGATTAATAAACATAATCACCTTAGGGAATTACTGCAAGATGCCACATTGCCAACATGGCCAAGCATCTGTCTTAGTTCCTTTCCCTTCATCTTTGCTAAACAAACAAAACAGAAAAACAGAGAAACACCTAGAAGGTGAGGCCGGTGATTGTCTTCTTGAGCTCTCTACTACAGACTGTGGCAGAAGATGAAGAGAACAGAATGACATATGTAAAAAGCCAAACCCAACCACAGAATGCTTCCCATTGTTACGATCCAGTGGAATGCAAGCTAGGAACAGGATAGAATTTGGAAATCCGGCTCTGTGTTGAGGGGTTAAGGCATTCAGACTCCCCGGTCATTTTAAAGAACACTTCCTGTTCCTGCAGTTTCCTGGCAAACTCTTCTTCCAGTGTCTTAAAAAGGAAGGGAGAAAGAAATTATGTGTTGGTGTTACAAAGAGAATTTACTCTGATAGCCGAGATAAACTATTTGCCCAAAACATTTTCTCTGTATATTATCCTAAGGAAGCCCAGACTACTCAACAGTCAGGATCACAGGCTATGCACAGCCCTAGGTTCAAGTCTTGGCTCAGCCACATGAACTGATAACTTGGCTCAGTTACTTGTCTGTATTACAGAATCATTTCAT